ATTTGGGTTTATTTAGTATACAAAGCCCTTTTATGATGATTTTTGGAGAATAACTACATGTATAAATAACTATAACGTGAAATATATCGTTACCGTGAAATAAAGTTAGTCATACCGTGAAACAGCTTTTTGGTCATACCGCCCACCCCTACTGCATGTCATTTGGATCAAATCCTCTAACAACATTTTGAAAAATAAAACCTGTGTTTTGCTTCAATATCTGATCCTTCTGCTATTACGAAACACAATTTTGCCTGTTTATTTCATATCTCTTTTAATGTGGAAAAAACGCAAAATAATATTTTTTTTTACTATGTATTGGTTTGTAATTTACGGTGAATAAGGTCCTGAAAAAAAAATTAAAATGGACCTTGAAAGTGCTTGAAAAGTGCTTGAATTTGACCTTGGAAAAGGTGTACGAACCCTGAACAGTGTTTTGCAGGAGAGCTGGGTTTTGGTGTGTGCTTGCTAGGATTCGTTCCCATCTATCGCTGTCTCTCCCGAGGCACAAACTCATCTCATCTTATTGGGTTACAGGACATCCACACAGAAAAACAGATTTTTATAATACACTTAAACGGAAGGAATTAGATATAATATAAAATCAATAGAAAAACACATCAAAGACGGTTTTTTTATTGGCCTGTTTACTTGAATGTGTGACCTTTTTTGCGATTGGAAAAATACTGAATTAAACAGTGCAGGAGGAAATGAGAGGAAACCGAATGTGCTGGCGGAGATTAGACAGAATCCAATTTCACTTTAGAAGGGAAGAGACTAAAGCTGTGCTGAAAGGGTGTAGGAGGGTGGTCTACTTTAAGGGTTATAGGAGAGGAAGGGGGTCTTAAATATTTCAGATGTGGCACAGCGTGTTTAGGACATCAAGTATAGGCAGAAAAAAACACTGCTCTCATGTGATGAACTGTGAACAAACTAAGAAACATCTCCCTTTATATATCCGATTCAGAGAATGTATTGGTGTACAGGCTATTCTTTGGGAAACCATGAATTATTTGGCTTGTTTCGGGTTCTCCTGATCCCGATTTCTTTGGTGGCGTTCACATAAGGAAGAAAATATAAAGCACTCTTAATAACAGAGATTTCTCAGATGGTGATTAGATGATCAGATAGTGTATGTGTTGTGAAAGTCTCTTCAAGACACTTTTAAAAACATTTAAAAAATCATACTGTCCATAAACATGTGAGCGGTAGTGTATAAGTCAATATTGTCAATTTAAATGAACAGCGTTGTTGGCCTTGTAAATGAACAACGTTGTTGGCCTGTTTTGGATATTGAGCAGCCAAGGCCAACAACGCTTTTCATTTAAATTGACAATATTGGCTTATACACTCCCGCTCAATGGTTTGGGGTCAGTATAATTTTTTCACTTTTATTTATTTATTTATTTTTTTATTTATTTATGCAATTGTTCTCTTATTCACAGCAAGGCTGGATTTATTATTTATTTGATCAAAGTTGTATATTTCAAAATATTTGTATGTGTAATTCATTTCTGTGAAGGCAAAGATGCATTTTAAGCAACCTTTACTCCAGTTTTGATCTTGGATCTTTCAGAAATCATTCTAATATGCTATTTGAGGCTCAAGAAACATTTCTTATTATTATCAATGTTGAAAACTGTTTTGTGGATTTATTTGAATTCTATGATGAATTGAAACACCAAACAGCAAAGAGCATTTATTTAGAATAAGAAACCTTTGTAACATGAATGTCTTTACTTTTTCACTTTTAGTCAATGTAATGCATCCTTGCTATATATATATATATATATATATATATATTTCTGTCAAATAAAATCTTACTGACTCCAAACAATAATCAACAATCTTAAAAGTAAGTAAAAGTATTTAAGTCTTTGACTTTCATGCGGTTAAGCCTTCAGGTCATTTAAAACCAGTGCTGTCAAAAATGTGTTTTTAATTTTTGTTTTATTTGTCACCACAAGCTCTTCAGAGCATTATGACCTAGATCTTCTCCTTGCCGCAAGGAACCTCCTCGTGCCACCTTCAGTAGAGTAGGTCAGCATCTGGCAGCTTCCGGTAAACACATCCCTGCTCTGATAGTGTTTGTATGAATCCACAAGAAAACGGTTATGTCTCAAAGGTGTCATTTTCCAGATTTTTGAAGGTGTACATTATTTCTGGATTTACATCAGGTAATAATTTACATCAGTGAGTGGGAGGAAGAGGCAGAGGAAGAAGAGTTTCTGCTCTAATCAGGAAGACGCAGGATTGATTTATCGATCCCCTAGGGCTGGAGATGTGCCTCTTTCGCTCCATTCCTTTTCCACCATCTTAATCCCTCCCTCCTCTCCTCCTCTTCCTCCTACTTCCTCTCGCTTTCCACCAAATTCCTTCTCATTCTGTTCCTCCATGGTCCCCCTTTTCTCCGTCCCCTCCCTTCCCTCTCCCTGCCACCCCCTCCCCACATCTATTCCCTCCATCCTCTCTCCTGGTATAACTAGGTCATTCTGCAACATTGAACCATCGCTCCTGCCAACCATGAGATTCACACAGCTCTGCACCCTTCTTTCTTACCTTCCCTGAAGTCCTCATAACATATCTAATTTATTTGACCTTTTTTTGGTGCATCTTTAGTGCAAGTTTTAGTTTCATTTAAAGCATAGGCCTAAGTGTGTCAATATTTATAAAAATCATTGTGTGCACACCCCACCTTCTGGCATGTGCAGGACAAAACTTACTAAAGTGAAAAACATTTAATGTCCACAACACGTTGCCTAGTGCGTCCATAACCATCCACATAACCATGACGTTGCATATTTTTTTCTATAAATCTCTGGACTATTAGTCCATCTGTGTAGGCTGTTATTACTGTGGACCTCTGACCTGTAAAGGCTAAAAAGATCCACTAATGGATGTTGTGAGAGGTCAGACAGGAAGTCTATTCCTTAAGGAGCAGATGTTACCGGACAATATGAGCGATTTGGGTGACAAACAGACAATAGATAAAACTAGAGTATGTAAACAGTGTGCTTCAAGGGAGGCAGGGGAAACCTTTTGTGACCTCCTGCCAATAGCGGCTCCTGACCATAAATTTAGTTAGCTAGTTAACTAGGTCTTAGCGCCAGATTATGATAAAGATTATTGTAAGCTTTACATTTAATGGCTGAACACATGCAGAACACTTTTAGCAGAGGTTAGCATAACGTTCTATCTAAAACATGCATAGGACGCTATCTTAGACTCAGTGTTAAACAAGTCTTTGGTTTTCCCTCGGAATTTGGCTACTTTTGCACTGTTGCAGGCAAAATTTTTATATATCCTGCTTACTTTATGACTTAAAATAGTCTAGAGAATCTGAAAAATATTTGTTGCAAAATGCTAAACACATTGACAATGTATCATTGATTCAGTTTATATAGAGGTCTATGTTTTGGATGAATATTTTGGTTGAGCACTGCCCAACCTGCCCTTACAGATGAGCCACCGCTGCCTTCTGGGAAAAGGTCTAGTGAAGTGTGAGCAAGACTGTGTATGATTGCATGACTGACTGCTTGTCTGGTTGTCAGTGAAAGCAGAAGTTCAAACCACCTTCCTCCCGGCTTTTGTGGGTTGTTTTTGGTTTGACATGTCCTCATGCCTGTCCTTTACGTCAGCACTGTTCACGTTTGACACACAAAGATAAACTGTTATCTTCACCATTTCGATCTGACTTTCCTGAATGGCCAGCTGTAGAAAGTTGTTTTCAGTACAATATATCATTCAAAAAGATGGATTAGATAACATTAAAGGGATATCTCACCCAAAAATGTATTCATTAATTTAGTCATTAATTAAATTCTCCTTCATGTTGGTCCAAACCCTTAAGACTTTCGTTCAACTTCAGAACACAGATTAAAATCTTTTTGATGAAATGTGAGAGCTTCCTGTCCCTCCATTGACAGTCTACGCAACTACCACTTTGATGCTTCAAAAAGTCCATAATGAGATCATAAATCGAATCCATATGAATTTAGCAGTTTATACCAATAGTTTATGATGTACGGATTGAATTTAGGCTTTTATGCAGTAGTTGTTTGGGGGGTTGCCTGTTCTTAGTGTTTATATTGGCATGATAGTAGGTGGTTGATAGGATTTTCTCTGTGTTTTCTATGGTGTTGTTGCTATGCAGTTGGTTTCTTACTGGCTGAAGTAAAAAATAGCCCACATGCAAGTCTGTCTGATATTTTGGCCACTAGAAATAGCTTGAGTCACTCCCTCAATATAAATCTGTGGTATTATTTTGCCCAATTTATTGTCTACCAGGAAAAAAGTAATGGCACACCTCTCCTCAGCAAGCTATATGATATATCATTCATATTAATAGCACAAAGTGTTAGCAATTGTGTTTCGTGTTAGGTCAAATGTTATGAGGCAAAGTGTTGTAGACATCTCAGAATTGTTCAACCGAGAAATGTAATGGACACAGACAAGCTGTCCCCAAGTCGCACATCTCTAGCATGTCTTGATCATGCTTACTGTACATCCCCCTGCTCAGCGCCTTTAATGTCCGTAGAGATCAGTCTGTGCAGCTTGCCACAGGAGAATGAGACGTCAGCAGGATTCACTCTCTATCAGCACTTCATCCATCGCTCAATATTATTCCCGTCTCTCTCACTGTCTTCTTTTTCACCGTTCTTTCCTCTCTCAATATTATGTCAAGTCAGGAAAGCCCTTATAGTCCCTCAGTTTGACAGAGGTCAAGCTCCCATGGCTCAGAGGTCAAGATTACACAGCGCCTGTCCAGTACTCTGTAATCTCAGCTCTCTTCAGGACCTCAGATTTTGATGGTACACTTAAGTGAAGTGGAATGCCTCATGTTACAGTAAAGCCTCATGTCTGCAGGCAGAGGCAATAAGTTACTTTCTCTATTAACCAGTGGTATGTTGGTACCAACTAAAATTAGAGCAATAATAATAAACAAATGCAGGTGAACAGAAAAAAAAAAACATCATGAACCCCCTTTTTTGTCTTCACAGGTCTTAGAAGTCTCTGCCATCATCAGTCTCGACATTGACCAAATTTCCAACCCCTTTGTGTAAGTTTATACCTATTATTTTGATTGCTCTGCAGCTATTTTCTTTTATTGTCTACATACACCATTTATTGATCATTAGCCATTAAAAAACGTTTTTTAATGGCAGATTGCTGTGATTGATTGGTTTTATTTTACTTTATTTATATTTAATCACAGAATGCTGACTGACCAGTCAGAATCAACTCTCAAGAGCCGTATTATAATACAAAACTATATTCATCAACTGTGTTTATTCATTTGAATGTTGCTTAAAGTAGCTTATATTTTTTAATATCAGATGCAGTGTTTCCCACAGAATTAGATCTATTGGCGGTGGTGTGGTGTTTGGGGACCGGGAGGGTGGGGGCTGCATAAAGGACAAAAGCTTAGGCCGCGCCAAAGGGGCCAATATGTATTGTAATGGTGCAAAAAGTCAAACTTTAGAAGCATGTTAGCAATAACCTTTATTGGAATGTACATGTACATGAACTTAGCTGCAGGAATCTGTGAGGGCAAAGGACAAGAAAATTGGTTTGCCGAGGGCAGGCAAACCCTTGTATGGTTTTCTTGTCTATATACACTAACATTAGTGCTGTCAAAATGATTAATCTAAGTAATTAATCAAAAAAGAAAAACTAAAAATAACACATAATCCTGATTGATACCTTCCTGGTGTGCACTATGCCCAATTATATAGCAGGGCTCTCAAGTTTTGAAGACAGGCAGCAGGAGTGACAGAATCAGGTAACAATTCCAGGGATATACTTTTTTTTTTCTTTGGTTGTTGCCTTAAATCTTACCCAGATACAGTAGTGCTATTTTCTGATTGTGTAGCCCCTTTCTTTTTTTTCTTTTTTTCTTTTTTTTTTTTTTTTTTTTGATTGGCTGATAAGTGGCAGGCTTGACTGCAGAACGCTTGATTCCTGCCGGTTCCATTTTGGGCATTGAGGTATTGAGAAATATTGGCAGCTGCGACATATTAAATATATTATAAACCTTTTTTTTTTCCACGAGAGAAATACAAAACACCGAAATGAGTTACTGTGATGCTCAATGCGTGACACTTGTTGAACCAATGCAGAACCAATCACTGGTGATCAGCGCGAGATGCATGCCGGTTAGAAATGTGTCGGTCTACCCTGTCTCTGATGTCATGCTGACGTATGTCAAAAAACTCTCGCGAGCGCAAGGCGGAAGTGTCGGATTCTGCAGTCGCGCGCAGTTGCTCTCCACCGACTGCGCTGATCAAAAGCATGATGGGAAACGACTTGTTGACGACACAGCTTAACGCTCATTAGTTTAAACAACCGTGATGTATTGTTCTCTTTTAAAATGTTTGATTTTAAAACTCTGATATCATGTTTTATGTGTATGTATACATATGTTAAGGGTGAATAAACTCTCTGCCAGTGCGATATGGGTAATTATGTAATGTCATTTTTATTAAAACAAAAATGAGGTTTTAGTCGCATAACATTGTTTATTGGAAACGCCATCATTTCGCAATAGTTTTTTAATCGATATTTAGAGAAAAAAATTTGCATATCTGTAATGGAAATGCGATAGCGTTTAACATAGACTAACTTCTCAGAGTTATAGTGTTCATTATACTAACCATATTTAACTCCGGATTGATTATGGATAATAAGCACCGGCAACAATCCATCCTCCAATGCTCATGTTTTAATTCAGATCGTGCTCGAATAGGAGGGGCTATATTCGCGTCTCTGTTGTCAGTTTGTGAATGAATGCTCATTTATGTGTTATTCTAGTGTCAACAGTGTCTGTGGGGCACATAAGTATGGGAAATCTCCTCCATGGCCTCAGGTAAAACGAGTAAAGTTTTTCATGTCTATTGAAAATGGAGTGTTAAAACGTGCATATGGTGTGTGTAAGTGACAGCTGTAGGGGGCATCTAGTCCAGCATCCTTGCGAGGAACAGTGCTGAAGAGGGCCTGAGGAGGAGGGAGTGGGGCGTCTGGTCTAAGAGGCATGGCTCCACTGAGGGTAACTGGCTGTGATGGGCGTGTGAGTATTTATAGAACGGTAGTATGGGTAATGTGTGTGTGTGCGTGTGTTTGGATGAGAAGACCGCCTGGGGCTGTACTACCATCGGCACACTAGGGACATGAAGAGAGAGAGACAGAGAGATGAAGCCCCAGACTGTTAGGCCTTCAACCTACAGTTGCACCAAGGACATTTGCCCTCACAGTGCCATTTAGTTTTCAGGTTTTTATTTTTTATTTTTTTATTTTAACAGATATGCATCAAGTTGTTTTAATGCTCATTTACATTGCGTTTAGACTCGAAAGTAATTAGAATGAGATTTTTTTTAAGTTTATTAATATTAACAAAATGTGTGCAATTAAAAATTAAATTGAAAACAAAGCAACAGTATTGACTAACCTTGTGTAACAGACATAGGTCAGTAAGAGCTGTGCTGTAAACCTCACTCCCCTGGCCTCAAGAGGCTGGGACTGGTTACACTTATGCATTACAAAAATAGTCCAATGAGATGCGAATCCCCTCCCACTAATAACACATAGCTGACTACCGAGATTTCTTTCTTTCTTTCTTCTTTTTTTTTTTACCTGTCTTAAGGCATTATTCCATGAACACCCCCAAATACTACATTATTTTCTGTGTCCTTAAAACTGTGAAATCAAATGTAGGCTCTTCAATTTAATAAACATTTCTTAAAGGTATTGTGGGTATTAAAAATAAATTAAGTAATTTTGATTCTGCACCCGATATTCGCTTCTGGAAATATCCACCATTTATTACGCTGCATTTGACTAATTAAGAAAAGTAATTTAATGGAATTTTAATGTCCTTCACATTATGGTAAAATATGTGCATCTTAGGTTTATCGTAATGAGAGGGACTGTGATTTCATCCATTTGCATACTGATTTATGGCATTTTCTTTTAATGCTTAGAATAATTATGAAATGAGAGAAGAATCAGATACAGATGTTTAGACTCAGAAATTGGATATGTTTAGATTTAGAACCACATATGAAAGAGGCCCAAATCAATACACACAAAAAAATATGATTTTATACTGTATATATATTTTTAGTGCTTACTCGCATTCAAAAACCACCACATATTAAAAGTCATATTTGGCTAAAAGTAAACAGTAAATGCGAGCATGTTCATTCTGTTTTCCAAGCTACTAGATGTCTTGGTGAAGTTTTAGTGCATCAAAACTATTTCAAAATGCACCACTTTTCTCACTGAATGAGGTTTTCCAGTGAGTGCTGTTGCCATCATGCATTAATAAGCTGTGATAACCGTGACCATTAACAAGTGAAGAGTCAGACACTATGCCCACTCACCTGCTCTGATGGAGCTCAAGTGGGTTTCAGGACTATTATGTTGTTAATCACTGTTTCAGTTTCACACTGAAGCCCACCTCACCTCACTCCCCTCATCCCTCACGCCATTTGGGTAAAAACACTCCTTCTGAAGGCTGACATTTTTCTGGTTGTTGATGAAAGGATATACTAACTTGAAACATGGATGAATCTGGACATCAATGCAAATATGAGCACACAGGCTGTTTAATTATAACACCAATGACTCCCAGAATGCAGTTGATGAGCTGGTGTTAACATAATTAAATGTGAGATCTAATTTAAAAATAAATGAACTAAGGGTACGAGTTAACAAGGGTCTAGCTGTGATACCAGGTTGTATACACACCAGGTTTTCAGAATTAGCGTCTCCACGCAATGGCAGGTAAATAGGTCTAAAAATATTTTTAGAATTTTTCTCTATGAATATATAATTATATTTTTCTTGCATTATTCTTTTCCTTGCAGCACATTATTGCATCACTTGTACCTTTGAGCCTTGTAGTGTTTGTTTTCATGTCATTTTTTGTGCAGTTATTAAGTCATTAAGCGTTTTTTTTTTTTTTTTGTAGACCATTTGTATCTTTTTGATGTGATTTGCTTGAGTCAGTGATGATTCAATGGTTATTTTAATTTTAATTTAGCGCTTGTTGTTGAATTCTAGATCTTATGAAGGAGATTGCTCAGTGAGTGACTAACCCGGCTTGTCTTGCCTTTGGCAGGATGCGAACCCTCTTCCACTCCGTCTAGGATGTGTGCCACGAGTCATTGCTGGGTTCACGGAGGGGGCTTTAACACATGCTATTAGGCCACATGCTTCTCTGGAATCTCAATATACTATAGTACTATAGCTCACGAGCACAAAACACTAATCAGATGTGCCTATATCTCTTGTTCGCTCCCTTAGAATAAACTGAATATCCTCTGTAGGAGGATGTGAGGTTGAGACTGCCAATGCTGTTGGTTTCTTAAACTGTAGTTGGGTTAGATCATTCCTGTATTGACTTTCAACATATTGGAAGTTTCTCAGACAGCAGAACCTGCCAAATAACTCTTTCCAGAGTTTCGTCCTGGAGGCATGAATGCTATATAAATGTGTGTATGTGCGTGTATGCATATGTATCAGATCTATTATTGCCAGTCTCTTTTACCTTGACAGCAGAGTGGTGAAAGATTGAGCAGTTTTCTGTAATTGTGCTTACGGGATTTCAGGCAGCCAAAAGGTTTTGGCTCTTTGAAAGAGTTTGAACGAGAAATAAAAGGATGCTGGGGTCCCTGGGCTGACAGTGACCCCTGTGGCAGATTTTTTCTGGCTTTAGCCCATGTTCTCTCCAGGCCTCAGACTGTCTCTCTTTCTAACCACCTGGACTCTGTTATGACGGGTATGATGGTCAAGGTGAAGGACATTTTTTAGACTAGTTCACTGCATCTTTCTAGTTTGTTTTTTTGTGTGTGTGTGTGTGTGTGTGTGTGTGTGTGTGTACTCGCAATCTTTGTCTCATCACATACAGTAAGTCTGGAATAACTAGTTAAAAGTAACAATGCTACTAATAACTGTATTTTTGAGTAGTGTTCTTATAATTCAATGGTTTTCAATATAAGGAAGCTTTCCTGTAACAAGCTTTATCCATAGCAGTGTTGCTACTCACTAAATTGCTTTTCTATCTTTTTATACCAAACATTGTATTGCAAACATGTTTTTTTATTGTAATAACTTAATAAAATATTTCATATTTAGTTAAATGCTTATTTTTACCTCAGTTTAATAATTGATTGTGTTTTTAGCTTTATTGGTGGTACTTAGTGTAAATGTATCTGTTTAAATGTTGTTAAAGGGCATATTGCAAGTTAGAGGACCCAACGAGTCAATGCATAAAAAAAAATAATGTAGTAACTAGATTTTCTTTAAAATATACTTAAAATTGACGCAATGTAAAAAGCCATTTTTACGAGCAGTCAAGGAAACGCTCACTTTATCTACGTACTAAATTAGTGCCCTTATGTTGTTTTAAAACATTTTAAATCCTGCATTAACTTTCCATATGGTATTTTCATATAAGGTTATCTGTAAATTTAGATTTTGTTTACCTGCAATATGCTGTTTAAATGCTGTAATTTGTAGAATCCAGGAGGTTCTCATTGATTGAAACTAAAAAGAAAAATTACATTTATAGTTGTATACATCAACAGTTATATTATTTAAAGAGCAAGCAAGGAATAAAGAAAAATAATAACACTAAAAGAACACATTGTTAATCATATGCCTAATATGTCAAGTTTCTTGCCTGGTCACATTGAGTTATGAATTACACGAATAATGTAAATTCTAGCCTATGCTGTTTTTTTCAATTTAAACGGTGAAATTGACACACAAAAAAGTCGAACTGTCAGTTGTTCACCCTTTTTTTAAGGTTTGTAAATATTAAATGTTAAACTCAACTGTAACAGTAAAGCCTGCCTTCTTTGCTTTGATTTGCTTTCAGCTTCCCCAACAATGATTCTTACAGTACAATAAGTTTTAGCCCTTCTTGACTGAGTGCCGTGAGCCAGAGACTTGTGTTATCTTTCTTTGGTGCAGATGAAGTACTTTGAACTCATCCAGCATATGGTTTGTGTGCAGATATTTGATAATGATCACATCAGTGTGTTGATAATTTCGCACTTGATCCAATTCTCATTTTTCCATCTGTTTAGTAGTTCATTTCACACTTTGAACTGCCAGATAATACAGTTTGTAATATCTGATGAATCAAACAACAAACCACAAAAACAGAATGCTGGAATATCCTTGGTCCAGATTTAATGTGTTCAGTTGAGCGAAGAGAGAAAGGAGGCAGCGAGGTATATGGCATGCTTCAACAAACAATCTTCTTCCTGAAATTGCTTTTCTTTTTTCTTTTTTTTTCACACTGTATAATAAAGGGTCTTGCTACCCAGACCACCCTAGGCATGTGAATTATAGGGCTATGGCTGCTCATTTGCATAAATACGCTAAGATCAACTAGCATATAAGTAGATGGTATCTGCAGGGAAGGGTTTGTCACTGACCTCCAGACTGAGTGTGTGCTGTTATTCAAAGAGCGTAGAGGAAAGTCTGGAGAGAACGTCAGGTTTACGAAAGCAGGATTTGACAGATGTACTGGTGCAGAGAAACAGAGCTGCCAGAGCATACAGCTAAAGCCAGATGAGTTAACATCTGCCATCAGACATCAGCGGTTTGTATATGAAGAGTTCAGATGCAAAAGCCTCTAAATGCCATTTGAAATTTTCTTCTTGAATGATGTTTTTTATCAAACTTGTATATTTAAGTTCAGTAATTTCACTTAAATAACAATTAATAGGTAATTATCATTGCCATTTAAGTGAAATCACTGAACTTAAATATCATTCTAGAAGAAAATTTCAAATGGCACTTAGAGGCTTTTGCATCTGAACTCTTCATATTAGCCCTGTCCTCCACCTTGGGGTCCGGTGACCCTGTCAAGGGAACCGATTGACCAGCAAGAGTCATTTTCTTCCTGCTTTGGAGGTTTGTATGGTGATGTGTAGGTGTGATGTGCTGATGCCGCATTCATCTGTAAGAGGGCCAATGGCTCCAGGGATTGCTTGTGTCAACTGCAAATGTAGGCCAGCTGAAAACCTCCACATGTGCACAGCCCACGCCTGCAGTACACACTCACAACTGTGTATTTTAGCGTTTAAGGGTGTCCCAGAAAAATCTGAATAAAGAGGCCTCTATGAGAAGTCTGTTTTTGTTTGCTTCCAGTGGCACCTCCTAAATGTCACAGTGTGATTATTAACGGATTATTCAGTGAAGTTCCTTAACAAGCAGTTTTTTCTTTTCACAGATAACACAACACAGCTAAAAGTGTGCAACTAAATCAGTAGAGAGCTGGGACGGGACGGGTCAGCCAATTGGAGGAGAGAGATGTGGACACAGGGGCGGTGGGCGGCGTTGGCGGTGTTGTCAATAATCTTGCTGCTGTCAAAGGAAGCGGCTCCAATTGAAGTCCCACTGGACCGTAAGTCATCCACATATATATATATATATATAGACATATGTTGTTGATCTTGGAACAATATTCCTGTTTGAAAATGTAGTCCTAACCCCTAAATCTAACCCCACCCATAACTTATCCCTAAAGTCAGAGGTAAATGATATTGTTGAATAACACTGATGTCCACTGATGACCAAATCTGATTGGTTGATTGGAATGTTATTCCAGGATTGGTTGTTCATGATCACGTTCATCATATAAGTCCCATCCCCCATCATATACGAACACGCACTCGTATTTAGACCTCCACAGTGTGCCACTTTAACTCGCAACATAAATGATATATTCTGTGCTAAGTGTGTATTTGATGAGGTTTACTAACCTCTCTTTGAGGCTTAATTGGGTTATTGCATTATGCATTAAATAAATAATAGACGTGACATCCGTTTACCTACTTTGCCATTTATTTTTATGCAAGAAACAAGCTTTCATAACCCGACTAAACCAATAATATTGGGATGTTTTCTCAGATAAAAACACAGCACTACACTAAATTCTAATAGTGGTTCTAAACTGGTTTTTATATCCACAAAATATTATCTCAGTGTTGTCATGCTCTCTTAGCAGTTCCACTTGCGACTGATTAGCCAGCTAAGCAAATTGTAAAATATGTAGCGTTGCAAATTTATAGCGCCCTGCGAGACACTGGCGTATATCATGGTGATACCATTTATAAAACACAATAAATGAGTTAAATCCATTATATCCGCACTGAATCTGCAACAAAGAAACCAATAAATCCACTCCGCCGTCTGTTGTCTGTTCTACCCCTCAGTTTCTTTCTAATAATAGCAGTCCAGGTTTGTCTTTATCTCTTATGAAAAATGATTTGAAAGCTCATACAGAGCGAGACAACCCCAGCGGCGCTCAGTGCTCACTCGCTTCAACAATAGAGGGAGCTTCGGTCTGACCAGGGGCTGTCAGCACCTCCCCTTCTCCGCCTGTATTCCCAAAGTGCCATCATTCGCTTTCCTTTCTCTTTTTCTCATTTGGCCTTTTTTCTCATTCCGTCTTTGGCAACTACTCTCCCCCCTCTATCTCTAGCTTTCACTACAGGCTTTGGCCCTGCCTGTGTGAATCTCTATTGATCTGTGTAGATGGAAAAGATTGGAGCACTGATCCTGTCTCTGAGCACTTCATAATACCCCTCTGACCTCTTGACCTCTCTGAATGTATGCAGCAGCAGGGCTACTGGGAAATGACAGGCATCTGATCCTGCTATTAGTGACTGTGTTGTGCCTTCATTTGTACGCTTATACTCCATATTACACGCACCATATAAGCAGGATTTGTAATTTTCAGACCAAGACCTAGTTTGGGTAGAGAAACAAACATATATGTATATACAATACATATACGATGAAATTGAGTTTATTATACCATATTAATGATTTGTATACTTTATGATGCTTCAAATACAAAAACATTACTGGTCAAAAGTTTGGAGTCAAAAATACAGTAATACTAAAACGTTCATATTGTGAAAATGACTGTTTTTCTATTATAATATAGTTAAAAATGTAATTTATTGATGGCAAAGCTGAATTTTCAGCATCATTACTCCAGTCTTCAGTGTCGCATGATCCTTCAGAAATAATTATAATATGCTGATTTGATGCTTAAAGGGATACTCCACTTTTTTTGTAAATAGGCTCATTTTACAACTCATTTGAGTTTGACCGTTGTCGAATCCATCCAGCCGATTTTCTGATATTTCGAAGAATATCAGTAACCAGACAGTTTCTGGTCTCATTGACTTCCATAGTATTTTTTTTTTTCCTACAATGGAAGTCAATGAGACCAGAACTGTTATTCTTCTAAATATCAGCAAATCGGCTGTATGGATTCGAAAACGGTAAAACTCAAACGTTTAACCCTGATGGAGTTGTAAAATGAGCCTATTTCCCAAAAAAGTGGAGTATCCCTTTAAGAAACATTTCTTATTATTATCAATGTTGAAAAGAACACCATGTAACAATGTAACAGTCTTTACTGTCACTTTTACTGAATGTAATGCCCGCCCCCCAACTTTTGAACTGCATTGTATGCTGTATGGCTTCTTAACTTGTATTTAGCATCTCTCCATTATTTCCCTAATGTTCCTTCACTAACACTTCCCCCGAAATGTGATTTCCATTGACGAGGGTTGTCATCGTGTCCCAGCTGACCTTACACATGCGCTCACACACACTAACACATATGTTACCCATGACATCCCATCCCCTGTGACCTTGCTTATGTGCTATGATTGATGTCAGATGATGAATGGCACAGAGCCAGAGATGCACCTGTCGCTATCCCATGAAAAGCACATCAGACACATGGATGCTTTCTGATACTATAACCTGTGGATGAAGGTCATATTCCTTTAATTAGCAAATCACAATCGCAAAAGCAATTCTTGACTCTTCTGATAACATACATCATAGTGATTGTGGTTATTATTGAATGTGAGCGACCTCCCCTCCCCCCCACAAAGAAAGACAGTCGAAGATTAAATATGCTGCCATATGGGGAAGAAAAATGCACTGATTATGATTTGCTAATGTGACAGTGATGTATTTTTGGTATGATGCTCTGTTTTTTTATTTTCAGAATAGTCTTATTAACATGCCCTCTCTATTTATTTGCAATTGTCTCTCCGGTTCATTCGTCTGACGGCCCATTAACAGGTAGGTTCATTTGTTTTGTTGCTGTTTTTGGTATTACAATGTTAAAGTAGACATAGTGCTGTGTGTGTATAATAACTAGTAATTGAGTTTAGCAGAAATTAACTAAAATAAATGTTTGTCTTAGAACTGTATTAAATGTTTAAATGTCTTCTCAACAGTCATTATTTAACATCTCCCATTTCCTCTCTCTTTTAACTATTCCCACAATTAATGTTTTTTCTCTCCATCCGCCCCTCCTTGGAACTAACAGCAAAGATCCAGCAAGAGCGTAAGTGCTTCATTAACACGGATTAACTTGTTCATTTAATCAGCGGCTGGTTTTAATACAGCTTACAGCAAAACTTATCTCATCAGAAATCTAAAGAACAGAATTATTGCTCTTGGACATTGCCCAATCTCATTTTACAATTAGAGCAAATACAGTCCCCAAAAACTATTGAAAAGACCCTCAAACACAGTCTCAAGAGAGCCTGCACAAGTTCACTGTGCTACTCCCGATAAATTACAAAGTCTATCATTTATTAAAGCTGATTAATATTTTAATGTAAGCCCAAGAGCATGTCTGTTTGGCAGGCCATATCTTTGAGAGGAAGGATTACTTTAGGGGTTTGTTAGCCTTGCCAGGATATCCACAGTTCTCAGCCAGCCAGCTAGAAGTGGAGCAAAGCAGTCAAGAATCCTGTGGCTAATTATGTATCACATTCAATGAGTATAGTACAGTGAACAGAGACTAATAGAGGGAATGCATTGAAGTCACTTTCCCACTGAAACAACCCCCCTCAGCCTGACTGAGTGGCAAAAGATCTGCTACGTGACTGGATTTAATAGGGGAAACTGCGAAAATGCGACTAAAACGAACAATTTTATCAATTTAAAATAAATGTTGGACTCAATAGTGTTCCTGACAACTTGCTAAAGATCCAGTGATCCATGGATATTGACATGCAGCCAGGAATCGTGTTGCCTGATATTTATGTTTGCCTGATTTCGACACCAGCGAAATAATAGCAATATAGACCTAAACATAATGCAAATTTGCCTGTTAACGCTTTATATAAATACAATATAGGTCTAAATCCGGGTGATCACTTATATCAGTGTTATATATAGCCTATATATATAATCATATCGTCCAGCCCTAAAACGTTATAGTTTTTTTTTTTTTTTTTTTGGTCAGTGTTTATTAAAAAACATCCAATAATGCAGAATATGCAATGACAACTATTTAATTGATGAGTTGTTAATATATATAATAACAATACAAAATATATGGGTATGGTTTTACTCTTAAATCAGCATATTGACACAAATTGATAAGTCCAGTTGTTTCTGTGAACTGCAGCGATCCATTTGCTCCTCTTTCTATAGCAGTCTGTAAAAATATACCTCAGATTTTGTCAAATCTAGTTGTACAGTCAATCGCAAAGCTCTTAACCGCTTTATACTGTATGTGTTGTGTTTGTTTTTCCCGGCATTCACGCTAAAAACAAATACAGCTGATCAGTCTTTTTGCCACTCACTGTGAGTAGCTGCAGACTCTCCGGCCGATGGTGACGTCATGCGCATATAGGTACATTTTGGTGTAATGCAAAAGAGTGCAACAGTGCCCGGCCACTTTTTCACCCGAGTTTGTTTCACTCAATCTCTTGACTTAAATATGTTAATTTTGTATATAAAAACAATATATTTAACACTTATTGCAAAATATGCATATTCAGTATATACAGATATTTAAGTAGTTTGAAAGGGCGTAGGGAAACTGACACCACAGCTGCATCCGAAATCACACACTTCCTTTCTATATAGTTGGTGAAAAACAGTATTTGACGAAAGTATGTCAGAATTCACAGTAGTCATAAAAGTAAGCCCGGATATCGTATTACTTCAAGCCAGATTCTGAAGTGTACATACAATGGACACTTTCTTCCATGAGGCCAATTTTAATGTTTGACAAAAAAATGTTAACCCGGATGAGGGCTTCAACAAAAAGTATATAATGTATGACTTAACAACCTCATAGCTAACATTATGTCTTTAAAGGTTCATAGGTTATCGTTTAATAATCAGTTCCGCTATGGAGAAAGTGAATGATTTCTTCTTCCGAAACCTGACTGTTTCACTCTATAGTCCATTGACGAAATTTGTCTTACATAACGGCCAAGTAGCGCAGTAGCTACTTGTGTCCACTGAATCCTACGTCTTACAATCTCTCACACCTTTTTGTGAGGGCCATACTGATTCTACACCATTTCTAACAATTGTGGGTAAATTGTGATAATCGAAGCAATTATCAAATTAGCCAGTATATTTAAATTAGCCTGGAAATTTGAATGTTGTGAATGATGAATAAGCAATGTTTTTCCATCAAAACTTTATCTTTCTATACCAATTGTACCTATATTTTGTTACTAAGAGTGAATAGAACAACCTTTTGTTTAGTTTGTACTGTAGACAGCAGCGAGAAATGCAATGCTTGCATAATGCATATGTATAATGGACATTGAGTTGAGTGCTGTTGAGATAAGACTCTCTCTCTTTGTCCGTCCCTCCACAGTGAAACAGCCCCCCACCATTGTGAAGCAGTCACTAAAGGACTACATTGTGGACCCCAGAGATAACATCATCATTGAATGCGAGGCCAAGGGGAACCCCGTGCCAACGTGAGAATGGATGAAACCTTTTTTCCTTTGTGCCGTCTCTTCCTCTCTATCTTTTTGTCACCAGTTTGTCAGCAACCTCTTACTGTATACGTCCATTTCCACCTTACATTATCTCTCTCTCTCATTCTTTCACTTCTGTCGCCGTCTAATTAAACCCAACGGCCATTAGTCTCGGCATGACAAAGACCAGCACATTTTTGTGAGAGTGACACCCAATGCCTCAACCTGACAGTGGCACTGTCAGTTTTGTCCTAATGCCATCAGATATGCAGGGGCGCTCACTCTGGCTCTTATTACTTGTGCTTGTTTGTGAAAAGCAGGCCTGACCAGCTCAACAACACAGTGTGGCCATTCAGACGGCCTTTTTGTTTGGTGGTATGTTGGGCTTTACAAAACCTTCCACTCAGCCTGGTCCGCGAAACAATTGTGGTCTAATAATACGCTCAGTTTAGTGTTCACGCTCACAGAATATTCAGTAGGTTAGTAAATGGCACCCAGTCAACTCCAGGCACGCAATCCTACCCTTTTTCAAAGTCGCAATGAAACAGAAGACCCTTTTTATCATATTGTGACATACATCCAAGTGAAACGGATTATCGAAAAAGATGTTGGGCGAAGACTTGGTTCTATCCATCGATTGTTGATTGGATGGATGCAGATCTGAATGCAAACTAGTTTGCATTTATTTGCACTTGTCTGTCTTTTTACTGGAAGATCGAGTTGAGACATTTTTTATTAAAATTACAAATAAAAAATAAATGAACATGAATTGCTCACATTAAGGGAAATTTCCATTTCATGTCAACTTTGGTTTGGTATTCATAGTTTGATGTGTGTGTAAATCCCCTCCAACAATGGGACCTATTACATAAGCAGCATCAAGTTGGCACAAATTCTGTTTGTGACCGGTCTGTGCAGGTTTCAGTGGCGGCGGAATGGGAAGTTCTTCAACGTGGGGAAGGATCCGCGGGTGACCATGCGGACTCGTTCTGGAACTCTGGAGTTCAGGAGCAGTGGGAAACCGGAAGATTACGAAGGAGAGTACCAGTGCTTTGCCTCCAACGACTTTGGCACAGCGATTTCCAACAAAATCTTGCTTCGAGTGTCAAGTGAGTGCTGGTTTACTGTAATGTCAAAGCACAACAAGCACTTCATGCAAACTCACTGTAAAGGGATTGTATATTCTGTCATCATTTATCTATCACCATCAAGTTGCATCAAACCCATATGACTTTTGTTGTGGTTTAAAATATACCTTATGTAAGTATACTTGACAAAATATATGAGGTTGTATGTGGGATTATGTATTTTTTTAAGCAAACAGATACATTTGTATTTAAAAATACAATAATAAACATTGAATGACATTTGTAGAACATTATGTGGAACACAAAGGTTGAAGATTTTGTCATATCGTGGAAAATGTCTGCTTGATGCTATATTTTAAGTTTATACCAATTATACCAATAATCTTCCCCTCAGCCTTAGCTCTCATATTTTATCTCAGTTTCAGTTTCAATTGGTTACAAAACATACATAAACCAGTGTGTCATTTGAAAGGGGAAACTTTGTTCCTTATCTACCTCTAAAAGGTTATAGTATGTTAGATTAATAATATGTAATAATATGTAGAATATTTAGAGGTAAATAAAGTACAGTCATCCTTTTAAGGGTACAGTGACAAGCTGTACAATTCTTGCAGATTTGTTTGGACAGTGTACAGACTACTTTTATGAAACATTTTTGGTGTTCTAATATTATTTTTGGAGCTCGACATCATTGTAAAAAAAAAAAGCAAAAATTTCGCCCTTTGTGTTCCAAAAAAGCAAGTCATACAGGTTTGGAACAACATGAGGGTGATAACATTTTTGGGCTTTTAAAAGTAATATGCACACCACTTGCAATAGAGTGATGTCATTGTTATATTCCCTGATCTGATGAACTTGTCTCCATTGCTCAGAGTCTCCGCTGTGGCCGAAAGAGGTTCTGGAGCCGGTAACTGTGCGTGAGGGGGCATCACTCGTCCTGCCCTGCAACCCTCCCCCTGGTCTTCCCCCTCCTGAAACCTTCTGGATGGACAGCTGTGAGTTTTGCTCATCACTTCCTGTGATTGATTGTGTCTAATTTCTTAACCTTACCCTTCATCTCCTTCACCTTCACGCTCTGTTTTACCTCTTCCTCAAACGTCCCTCTCACTTCCTCTTACTTTCAGTCTCTCAGTCTGTGTCCTCTGCACAGCAGTGTCCTTTACTGCATTAGTGCTGAGCTAGCGCATGTATGCGAATCTGCACTACCTGATAAAAAAGCTGAGAGAGCAGACGCAAGCATGGCACTGAAACATTACAACAGACCTAGAATCAAGAAACATAGACAGACACATCTTTGATCACACATCTTGACTGTTTGTCATCATTAGTACAGTGATAAATGGCTCTTTGGAAATGAGAAGTATTAATCATAAGGAACTTTGAATTTCCTTAAGATAAGGATCTTTGAATTTAATGAATTTCCACACTTCCCTCATTGAGTATAGTCCTAAATTCTTTCTAGCACACTCCATTTTCATTGGTCACACTGATAACCTTGTCTCAAACTAACACTATTGGTTAAACCAGTGTTTCTGTGTTATATTGGTGCCCATTTCTGCCATATAAAAAACAAACATGTTTCAGTAAATCGCAATTATGACATTTAAAGTAGTTTTTTTTTTTAAATGTCACTTTTTATGTCACAATTTAAATGTTTACCTTATCATGACTTAGTACCTTATAATTTCAACTTTTTATGTTATAATTAATTATGATTTTCCCAAGCATAAAAGTCTTTTTTTTTTTTTTTCGTCCATTAATGTTGGGCTCAATCAAACAAATAAATGTTTTAATAGGGCCCCAATTTTTTTGGCTAAATTAATTTATTCTGCACATATAATGTAGTTATTTTTGCATATTAAACTGGCATATAATACATATTTTAAAAAGGATGGACAAATATTAAAATTGTGGCCATAATTAGTAAGTCGTATAAACGTATAAACGAGGATCGATAAAATTCTATATTTTGCATTAAAAATAAAACACTGAAACCTCAGTGTTTTAAGTCCTACATAGTGTACAGTATTAAAATTTGCTAAAGATTACATTTAACAGTAATTAAAAATGTCATTGTTTTTAGATTATTAGTGTTAGTTATTAGATTAACTTTCGCAAAGGTAATCTAAATGTACAAATAGGGGAAATGAGCAGACATAATGAAATATACAATTACAACTGATTTAATACATTAGAAACATCTCTAATATCATCTGGTAATGATATACATTACTTGTGCATTACTTCCCCTTTAAGATACTAACTTCTTTGCAGGTGAAATAATATCCATCACTAGATTGTCATGTGATCACTACACTCTTTGATCCACAAGGCCGGAGACATCATTATTAAATCCAGACTCAGTGTTGATTAGTGCAGAACCTCTTGTCTTCATCTCATACTCTTGAGTGTCACATTTGCTTAGCCTTGTGATGTTCCAGGCCAGAAGAAGATAATTATGCGTGTGATTCTCTTCTCACGCTCATCTTGAGCATTATTTCTTCTGTTGCCTGTCGGCTACTGCACATCAAATGAAGTTGAACAAATGAGTCTGGATTCTCTTTTCTTTTCGCCTCTCTCCACAGCCATTATGCCTATACCACAGGACAAGAGGGTGTCAATGGGTCTGAATGGTGACTTGTTCTTCTCCAATGTTCTGGCTAAAGACGCCATCTCTGACTACAGCTGCAACGCTCGCTTCGAGTTCACACACACCATTCAGCAGAAGAACCCCTACACCCTTAAAGTGCAAACAAGTGAGTAGAGATTTCTGATGATTCAGGATTATGCGTTATCTTTTATTTGATGTTGTTACTCTGAAAAGGTGCTCCTGTCTAAGGTGAATATTGTGGTCCATCTAGTGGTGAGGAGGTAGTATTGCAGTATCTCAATGGACCATTTACCTTTAATGGTTGTCTTTGCGTTTTATTTGGATTGCCTTCATTTATTGCTATCACAGTTTCAGTGATGTTTGAGGGACTATGCATCTTCCATTTGATTCAGTATTGTTCTGTTCTTCCTGGTTGCAATTAAGTGTATTTTTTTTTTCTCTGTATTTGTCTGTATGTTGATTAAACTGCAACTTTATTCACAGAAGAACCTTATAATGACACCTTTCTCAACTCCACTGATCTGTATGGTGGTGAGTTCCACACACTGCTAGTTTGTTTTCTGTGCTTCTGTAAAAGAACACTAACGGAGTTAGCCATGCTATTTCTAACCACATACAGCAGAGGAAATGCTGAGATTGTGTGTCTGTTAGTGTATATAATACACAATGAAAGGTGTTCCACATTATATGTATTGACCATGGAACTTACCACTCGGTGCTTATGTTACTTAAAAAAAAAAAAAAAACGCAATACATCAGTTTAAGCAGTTTTTGGGGTCAGCTATTCAGTCATATTTTGATGGACCAGTATTCAAATTTATCTGGTAATTGCTTTCATTATCCTAATCACGTTGCTCATTATGGACATATGGATATGGAAGTAAGGAGATTAGGCAAGAGGTTCTCATTAATATTTCAGCAACATTAATCCAATGATAACCATGTGCAAAACCGCACATATGTATCCAAGGATATGGCCTAAGGGTGGTAGTGAATACATGAAGAAAATGGGTAAATCGCAAACCCTGTCAAAAACAAGCCATAGATCCTATTTCACCCCAAAATCAAATGGAATATATTTGCATAATTTCCCCAAAATCTGGATATTTTTTTTTTTTTTTTTTTTTTTTACTGTTGTTCAGAGTGGGGGGAATGAACAATTTTTTTTTTTTTTTTTTTTTTTAACTACCATGATGTATACATACTGTACTTTAATATTTAATATTAATTAAATTAAATATTCATAATCTTTCAGTTTCTTGAATAAATGTTCAAATAAAATATATTTATATTAATATTTATATTTATAATATATATATATATATATATATATACATTTTGTATATTCATTATATTTAAAAAAAAAAATACTTTTAGTTTTTTGTTTTTTTAAATTATTGATTTTGGAGTTAATTATGACCCAGACTTGTTCTTGATAGGCTTTTTGAGAGTCACCTATATATGACAATGTTGTCAGAGCCTTGGTTCACTGACAGACACAAGCTTTTTAAAGCTATCTCGGTTCATGTCTCAAATGTACAGTCTCCACCAAGGCATTGTGGGGTCGCACTGACAGAGGACTGGCACCGCTGTCACCACAGACACACGTGACCGTGGCGTGAAACATGTGTTCCTGGCAGCTTCATAGTCTAATCTCCCAGGCGTTGTCCTCCCACTTAATGACACCAACAAAGGCTGTTGTCACTCCCTCTTCAAGAGCACTGTTCGCAATGCTAATAGCTAGGAGCTAATCTTACTGCTAGATATACATTACAATAGAGACTAATACTGCCATGCTCATCAAGTCTTCCTCAGGGAGAAGATTGTCTGTGTCTTCTCATAACCAGGGTTTTATGTCCACAACTAACCATCTGTCTGTCGTCACAGCTCTTGATTCTTTTTTCATGCTTATGTCATTTTTGCATAAAGATTTCAAATGATTTTACAGAAATAATGATGAAACAACAACAACAACAGTGTATTATGATGCCTTTTTTATACTTGTTTGAAATAAAATATAGTGTTCAAAAGTTTGGGGTTGGTAAGATTATTTATTTTTTTAATTAATACTTTTATTTGGTGAGGATGCAATCAATTGATGTAAAGAGACAGTAAAGATATTAAATATTTGTATTTCAAATAAATGCTGTTCTTTTGAACTTCTATCTATATTTCACAGAACTTATACTTCATGTATATATTTAAGAAAAATATGTTATTAATATATCAAATATTTATATATAATATGTATAAATATATATAAAGTATATACATGCAAATATTTCTTAAATATGTGTGTGTATTTATATATACAAATTAATTATACACACTACACACACATATATTATGTGAACACAAACTTTTATTTTGGATGCGATTGATCGCGATTAATCGTTGCCCAGCCCTAGTATTGGAACCATGTTTCCACCTTAGAGTAAAAAAAGAAGCAGCAAATTCTGTTTCTCAAAACTGTGACTGTATGTCTCACAATGTGACTGGTGATGATGATGATTAATTAAAGTATTAATAAAGTATTATTTTGTTCATTTGCAAGTAGAATCTAACATTAATCCATAACAGCGCAACATTATATTATAGCTAAAAACATGTGTATGTAGTTGCTCCTAACTCAATTCTTCTTTTCCACAGTACGAAATGTACCAGAAACCCAGCCTACCTTTCTGTCTCCAAAGGGCATTGCCAGCTCCAAGATCGTGCTCCGAGGGGAACAGCTTCTTCTGGAGTGTATAGCAGCTGGAGTGTGAGTGTATACCAGTCTTATTTTAGTATTATTTATATACTTTTATAGACCATTTCAAAAGATGTAAACAACACTGGTCCAGAAGCACTTCCTGTTTCAGTTTGTAACTGTTTTCTTTATTTCACATGTAAAGAAAACATCTTAAAGATGTTTGTTTAACTTTTTGATTCAATTTTAAATGTTCTGTTGGTTGTATTTTATCCCAGCTTTTATGTAGTGTTAAAAAACTGAAACAGGAAGTGCTTCTGGACCAGTGTTGTTTACATCTTTTGAAATGGTCTATAGAAGTACATTTCTATTTATATGGAATTTTAACAATTCAAATTTTAGTTGGACCGCATATTCAGTTCCCAAAAGCACAAAATCCTTCAGTGTTAGTATGTTCTCAGATTTATCAGTTACAATTAAGTAACGTCCTGTTCTTTTCGTCCTGATCTTCCCCTTTCCCAGCCCAACTCCTTCCATTAATTGGTTCAAAAGAGGAGGAGACTTGCCAGCAAAAAAAGTCAAGCTTGAGAACTTCAATAAAACTTTACGCATCCTCAATGTGTCCGAAGAAGACTCTGGCGGCTACATCTGCATGGGCAGCAACAAGATCGGCAGCATTCGCCATGCTGTTGAAGTCCATGTCAAAGGTGGGCCTTAGAGAAACAGCTTCTTGTTCATGACTTGTACTCTTTCTTTTACTGACTTCTATGATTTCTTTATTGGCTTGAAAAGCTGCACCCTATTGGCTAGATAAGCCCACCAATCTGGTGCTTGCTCCTGATGAGAATGGACGGTTAGTGTGTCGTGCCAATGGGAACCCTAAACCCACCATCCAATGGCTGGTGAATGGGGAACCGATTGAAAGTGAGTCAACTGTTTTTTCCTGTTCTACCAGTTGGAATCATTGTCCACAAAGCAGTAATGCATACTTTGTTCCTGCTCTTTGTGTAACAGGTTCACTACCAAACCTAAACCAGGAAGTTCTTGGGGATACCATCATGTTCCATTCGGTCCAGATCGGAACCAGCGCAGTGTACCAATGTAACGCCTCCAATGAGCACGGTTATCTACTGGCCAATGCTTTTGTCAGCATCCTGGGTAAAAACAATGGAGTTAATCGTTCAAAATGTTCAGAGATGGCATATAATTGACTGATTGTGAGATGTTAGTGTTGTTTTCTTCCCAGACATGGCACCACGAATGCTAGGCCCAAAGAATCAGCTGATCAAAGTCATCGAAAACAACAGAACCTTCCTCGACTGCCCTTTCTTTGGCTCACCGTTCCCTTTACTGCGCTGGTGAGCTTACGTTTTATTGTTTGAAAAGATACTGTTCAAAAGTGTGGGTTCGGTAAGATGTTTTAATGATTTTAAAAGAAGTATTTTGCTTACCAAGGCTGCACTTATTTGATCAAAAATACAGTAGAACACTACTATTGTAAAATATTATTACACTTTGTTACAAAAATATTATCACACACACACTGTTTTTTATTTTCATATATCTTAAAATGTAATTTATTCCTGGAACATTCAGCATCATTACGTCAGTCTTCAGTGTCACATGATCCTTCAGAAATTGACGAGTTCAGATGCAAAAGCCTCTAAGTGCCATTTGAAATTTTCTTCTAAAATGATCATTTTTATCAAGCTTGTATATTTGAGTTCAGTAAATTCACTTAAATGGCAATGAAGATTACCTATTAATTGTTATTTAAGTGAAATTACTGAACTTAAATATACAAGCTTGATAAAAATGACCATTCTGGAAGAAAATTTCAAATGGCATTTAGAGGCTTTTGCATCTGAACTCTTCAATTATTCTAATATGTTGATTTGGTGCTCAAGAAACATTTCTGAATATTGTCAATTTTAAAACGTATTATTTTTTGGTGGAAACTGACAGGTTTAACCCAACAGCATTTCTTTGAAATTTGAGATTATAATTGTCTATACTGACACTTTTTATTAAAGGATTAGTTCACCCAAAAATTCATTTATTCTTTCATTAATCATTAATTTCTCGCCCTCATGTCATTCCAAACCCGTTAGACTTATGTAATGCAAATGAAGATATTTTTGAAGATCTGTGATCTCTGTCTCTTCAGAAAATGTGGACTTAACCCCTCGATTCATATGGATTAGTTTTGCGATCTCTTTTATGGTCTACGTTTTGAAGCATCAAAGTGGTAGATGCGTAGACTATGGAGAGGCCGCAAACTACAAACAGTAGTGAATTGGAATAAAAAATGTATTAAATAAAATCTAAGATGCATGTGTGTGTTCAGGTTTAAGAATGGCCTAGGCAGTGGTCTGGATGGTGGTCAGTACAGGCTTTACCCAAACGGTACTTTGGAGATCAATCAAGCCCGGCCAGAAGACCAAGGCACCTACACCTGTGTCGCCAGCAACATCCTGGGCAAGATGGAGAATCAGGTGCGCCTGGAGGTTAAAGGTGAGATCGGAAGCATTAATCATTAAGTCAGACTTGTACATTCATGTACACAATAACTCTGACTTTTAAATCAAGACAAAATAACATTATTGGCCATGTGTGAACCTATGAATGCCTTCATTTACTCCGTGTTGTGCTTCATTTCAGAGCCCACAAGGATAGTGCGGGCACCCGAGCATGTCACAGAACCTAGAGGGAGCACGGTTCGCTTTGACTGTCGAGTTAAACGCGATCCTTCTCTTCTTGTTACGGTCACATGGCTGAAAGATGACAAGCCTCTAAGCTTCAGCTGGACGTAATGTCACATAACTTTACACTTGTACAATATAATCATATTTAGACTGAACGCTATTTTTCCCTCTTATATAGCAGAAAGAAGACTCTTATGCTCACCAAGGCTTCATTTCATTTATTTAATCAACAATAAATAATTATTTAATTTGAATATATTTAAAATGTGATGGCATAGCTGAATGTTCTGTACGTAACTAACATCTAATTTGTCATCTAGTTTTGGTGGCCGGTTGAGAAAGGATGATGAGTCCTTGACTATCCAGAATGTCAATCCAGAAGATGGAGGAACCTACACGTGCACTGCCAAAACTGAGATAGATGAGGACTCTGCCTCAGCTCGCCTTACAGTTATAGGTACACACACTGGTACTGGCACACACACACACCTTACAATAAATGTAGGTCCTCTTTTATGCACTTTTCTCATGTTCCTTATGGCTAGTAACTTACTTCATTATAGATATGGAAATGGGCATGTGGAACAGTCACATGTCTCATATCCAGATTCCAGATGATATTAAACTTCCCTAAACATTTTTTTTTTCTTTTGTAACTTAAGATCTTTCCTGTTATGGAAAATAAAGCATGTTTTCCTAATAGTTTGCTTGAAGATTACTACTATTGTGCCTTCTTCATTAGCTATAGTGTTTGACTGCATCCAAAATGGCATACTTGCCTACTATATAGTATAGTACTCATAAAGGTAAACCCAGATGACCTTTTATTTCCGGCAAGATTCTGAAGAGTGCATATGATGGACATTTTACCATCCCACGAGGCCACGGGAGAGGATTTGTGAATGGTGGTGAAGCGACGCAACTAATGTTTGTAGGTCACGTGATAATGACAACATGGCAAATGTAGTGTGTCCGATTACATTCATACTACAAACATTGATACTACATAGAACATACTTTTTTAGAGGGCATGAAGTAATTTTGCGATTTCGGATGCAGCCATCGTTTCTCATTATATTTATCTACTAATAGTCACACTAACCCTTGACCTCTGACCTTTGACCTTTACCTCATAGAGGATGACATCTCTTCTGCCTCAAATCGTAGTGCCTCTGCAGGTAACATATGAAAGACATTTATGTCTAATGTCCTATTAAAGCCTCTAACAATCACCCCTTTTTTAACTTAGAATAATTGGTGGTTGTGTAAGTTAACATGGTTAATTAGTATACTGTTCTCTTCCAGGTCGACCTGACCCCCCTCAGGATCTTGAGCTCTCGGACCCTTCAGCACGTAGTGTCAGACTCACCTGGGTGCCTGGGAATGAAAACAACAGTCCTGTTACACGTAAGTTCAGAGTTCAGATCAAGTCTCGTGTCTTTGAAGGCTTTTAAAGTCAAATGAGTGACTTCATCAACACCTCCTGTTTACTTGCCTCTTGTTTTAAAAATACAAATCAAGTAAATATGACCTATTAATACAAGCATTTACAATTTTTGCTGTTTCCATTGCAAACAACTCTGAAAGTATCTTTTGAGTGATTAATGCAAGATTTGCACATAATCAGTGTTGACAACATTTTTCAGGGTAAAGCTAAAGCCTGCTCAGTCACAAAATTTCACTAGATGATGGCATTTAATTAGCATATTTGTCCTAATCCTGCGTTCTGTGTTCTTTTTTTTAAATTGCGTGCTCACACTAATTTGGCCTGTTTTATAAATCTGGCCCATAGTTGCTAAATTGGCAACACTACTCATAATACCAAAAAAATAATAAAAACCAGTAATCACCACGGCGCCATCTAGTGGTATATAGATTCAAATGATTCAAATAAATAATTTGTTTCTTTTTGAGATTGACTCTCAGCTTTAAGTATACGAGTTTTACCTGAATCATAATATTATTTCATCTTCAATATAATTGCTATTTTTAAAAATAAATAGTCTCCCAGTCAAATACTCAGACTTGAATTTCCCACTCTGTGTAGGACTCTTACTTTTTAACGACTAACAGCAGGAATTTAAACTATCGAACTGTTTCCTTATTACAGATTTCTTCGTCCAGTTTGAAGAGGACAGGTGGGAGCCGGGCAAGTGGCAGAACCTGTCTGTATATGATGGCAACCTAAACTCAGTCAACCTACAGCTGTCACCCTTTGTCAACTACCAGTTCAGAGTGATTGCAATCAATGCTGTGGGCCAGAGTCAACCCAGCCACCCTTCCGCACGCTATCAGACCAGCGGAGCCTGTAAGTGATCACTTATATCGCCCTGATAGGAATGTGTTCAAAAATGTACATTTTTGTTTTTTTGATGGACCCATAGAAGTTTGGCAAAATTATAAGTGGAGACATTTACTGACATATAATGATTTGTTTTAGCTCCTGATGTTATCCCTGGTGGTCTTAAAGGCTGGGGAAGCAAGAAGAATAACATGGAGATCACATGGCAGGTAAATGGACTGGGTTTATTGTAATACCTGATGTGCAGACTGATGTGACTGTTAGTGAGCTAATGTACCTGTACATGTCACAGGCCCTTAAGAACACAGAAAGGAATGGGCCAAACCTGCAATATTTGGTCTCCTGGAGAAGGAAAGACACAGAGGAAGAGTGGGTTAACATAATTACATCCAGAGCAGAGCACACTATCCATAATACAGACACCTATGTCCCATACGAGATCAAAATACAGGCCGTTAATGACTTTGGATACGGCCCAGAGTCAAACATAGTCATCGGTTACACTGGGGAAGACAGTAAGGACTAACATTTCATATTTAAAGACACTTTTATAGTCATTCACAGATAGTGGTGCATCTTCGTTGGTCTATTTTGTACTAATACTATTTTTCCCATCAGGACCGTCCGCTGCGCCAACAGAACTCAAGGTGTCGAAGATCAACAGTACCAAAGTTAATGTTCACTGGGTGCCTGTGGACCCCAGCACTGTGAACGGAGAGTTTAAAGAGTACAAGGTGCCTGACACAAAAACATACATACATATATTTGCACTTACTGAAGGTGCTAACGTTGCTCACTCACGTCTCTTTTATTATATTCTCAGTTGTACTACTGGCGGGAGGCCAGCCTTATCAAAGGCCTGAAAGTAAATAAGACAAAATTGCATAAAGGTTTCTTCACCACTGCCGAACATCCTTCTGGCATCCTGACAGAGCTATTTCCATACAGCAAATATAAAATATACATGGTGGTGGCTAATAGAGAGTATGAGGGACCACAAAGTAACACTGTGGAGTTTCAAACCAAGGAGGGAGGTAGGATTCACCATGCTCTGCTTTTAGTGGTGTACCATTATCCATAAGGCATGTGATGTTTGTAACAAAAAGCAGAATACTAATGGCTTTCATATTCTTTTCCCAGAGCCAGGAGCTCCAAAGTACTTTAGGATTCAGAGGCACACAGACGTGGTTCACCTGAAGTGGGACAAGCCACTGGAGCCGAACGGTATCCTGATTGGATACACACTCCAATACCACACAGGTGAGCTCACCTTTCACCAAAGGAAGCCTCAAAAATGAGTGAATAAACGTTCAGAGAGCAAAGAGTTTCATGCCTAATTTATCTTAAAAGGTTAGTTCACCCAAAAATGTAATTCTGTCATTAATTACTCACCCTCATGTCGTTCCAAACCCATAAGACCTTCATTCATCTTCAGAACACAAATAGTGAATAAAGTGATAATAACATTGCAGTCTATAGGGGGGTCAGAAAGTGCTCGTATTTGATCAAAAATATCTTAATTTGTGTTCCAAAGATTTGGAGGTTGAGTAATTAATAGTAATTTTGGTTGAACTAACCCTTTAAGGCTGGAATACACTGTTCATTTGTTCACTCTGTTCTATTTGTTCTGCTCTAGTGAACGGGACGCAGCGGGGAGAGAGGAAGGTCGAGAGTTTTCCAGCCAATGTTACGGATTACGTTGTGAATCTGCCTCACCGCCTAACACGGTTCAAGTTCTACCTAGCAGCTCGCACGCAGGTCGGCGCAGGAGAGGTGTACGCCGTGGAGTCGCCACATTTCGCAAATGAAGGTCAGCAAGGAAGTCGTGTCTCTATGTCGTGTCACTGAGCTGTTAGTGAATCTGAGAGCAGAATCATTGGGTGTTCTTGTCTGTGCTCCACCCTGTCGGTCTTTTTCCTTCTAATAATACTTTTCTGTCTCATTGTTTCCTGATGCTTTGTGGTGTCTTTAACTCGATCTGTTTCTCTCTTAACTGCTCGATTTCTTCTTTGTCTTCTCTGACTTGCTCTCACCTCTTCTCCTCCTGTCTTTCCTGTGGTGTTGACTGAAGGCACCCCAGATACTGACTCTACAGTTGTAGGTAATGGGGGAATGGACTGTCTGTCTGTCTGCCCGTCTATCTCTCGCCCTGCAATCTGTCTCTGCTTCAGCCTCTGTCTCCCTTTCCCTCAAATACTGTCTATCTACTTTTTAAAAATATGACAGTGCAGCTGAGTGCTTCAATTCACAATCACAGTTGAGATTGCTAGCCAAACACAGATACTCTCATAAACAGTTTTACCAACACTAGGAAGTTATGTGTTTAATTAAAAGTGGTGTGTAAGTTGAGAAAAATCAGTACCAAAATTGATTTTTTTTTTTTTTTTTTTTTTTTTGAGTGGCCTGTCAGGATCAGTATTGAAATTACTTAATATACAAGTTTGATAAAAATCATCATTAAAGAAGAAAATTTCAAATGGCATTTAGAGGCTTTTGCATCTGAACTCTTCATATATATATATACTGTATATATATAATTATATTTTTTTTTAATTATTTTATTTTTTAATTAAAAATAATAATTATTTTTAATTATATATATATATATATATATTAAAACAAATCTTAATCAGTAATTTGTTTTTCAGGAAATACATTTTATGATCAAATTGGCTCAACAAAGCAAAATTCATAACTTTTTCAGAAGTTTATTGAATTGTATTTGAATGATAATCGGGATGCATGATTAATTGAAATAAAACTAAAATTATGTTATGGGTTAGTGCGATTATCAAATTGCAAAGGCTGAAATTTAATGAAATGGACATGCACTGCCTGTTTCAGTGTAAAGCTTGGCAATGTTCAAATGTAAGACTAAAAGTTCAATAGTTTAACATTCAGAAATTATTTAAGAATCAGTATTAGAATTGTAATTTTACTCTTGTACGTACTGTAAAATAAAATGCTAATATTATTACTAAATAATACTCAATATCACAAAATATTAAAAAAATATTCACAATAATAATAACTATTAAAAAGTGAGTATTTGAAATTTATTTGAAATTTTTTTTTTTTTTTTTTGCTTTTTGCCTCAATTGCAGGAATTGCACACTTCACTTTTAACTGTTAAATTTCCTTTGATGAAAAACACAGCTCAACTGCACTGTCTATTATTGCCTGTCCCGATCCGTCTAATTGTCCGTCTGCCTTCATTCATGTCACTGTGTGCTTTCAGGGATGGGCTACACTCTTGCACTTTTGTGAAGTCACTGAATCTGCTCTCAGTGTAGATGATTTAAGTTGTATCTCTTTATGCTGCTGGTAAAATGCTTCTAAGTGCCACAGAAATAAGGTTAAAGTCATGTGTGGCTCAGATGTAATTTTTGATTGACCCCCTAATCCCTGATGGCACTTTGCTACTTTAGCCTTGACATCACTTCCTACCACTTGCCTTGCTTGGCATATCCCAGCATGCTCTTTTCATCATTTTGGTTACTACCAAATTCTACCCAGAAGCCAGTACGAAGCATTTTGTTGTTCTAGTTTAGGAAACAGAGACCTCTAGTGGTGATACTTTGAGACAGTCATTGTGTTAGGGAAAGGGAAATTAATATTCAAGTGATGTTTTTGAAGACATTTATGAAGAAAATGCTGTTATAGAAGCTAATCACAATGGCAAGCCAATTTTGTTTGTGCAGTTGATACCAATTTCTCTAACAATTCTCACTTTAGAAAAACACATAACCTGACGACCAAGTTAAATGCTTTGGGAGAAAATTGTAACCATTGACCATGCACTTTGTGTTGATAGTACTGAAATATACATTTTCTCTTTCTCTGGTGGATACAGGGCAAATTGTCGTGAATACTCAATATAATGTTCTATTCGAGGAAAACCTATTGCATTTTACCTACTGAGCCATTAGCCATGTTTCTTTATCAAATAATATTTGCAGATTTAGCATGCATGTTGTAGACAGTCAGAGAGGAAAACTTTGTGTTTTTTATTTATGTAAATGAATACTTTCCTGTGCCAATTGCTCTTTCAAAGATGAATACCCCAGAATGTCCAATTTTTCAGTATTTTCCTAGTTAATTAATGCTGTGAACATGCAAGACTAAGCTCTACAAAACAGCCTGCATAGTTTAAATGCATTTATGTTAATATATGGTAGATGAGGTGCATCTGCTTATAGAACAGTGTTAATGGAGTGATGATGTTTGGCTGTGAATCCATCCATGATGAAAATGGCAGAATAGTAAATAAGTGTTTTAGTATTAGTCCGTTGCTTTTGCAATGCACGTCACCGCTTCTGCTTGTCCCACCTTTATTTCTCTTTTACTGAGCATTTTTTTTTAATATTGTGTCAGACGGAGACATACAGGTAAGAGTGCATTGAATTGTTGGCTGATTGGCTGTGTTGATCTGAAACCACAACCCTGTGCAAAAGATTCACATCCATTAGCATGTCTTGGTCTGGCGAATCTTAATGTCACCAAGTGTTCCGGGGCTCTTTGACAAGGCTTTACCTTCACAGCATTGTACGGATTGCTCTTACTTTTTAGTTGAGTTTGTAAACTGCTTGTAGTTTTTGTTATGGATTTGGTTATTGGTGAGGTAAAAGCAAAGATGTACAATAATTGTTATTTTTTCATTATGAATCACTATCTACCATGGTTATGATTCTATCCACTGTGCGTTCTAATTGATTTCCACCCATCTTCTCTCAACGGGGTAGTTCACCCAAAAATGGAAATTATGTCATGATTTACTCGCCCTCAAGTTGTTCTGAACCTGTATGAGTTTCTTTCTTCTTCTCGGCATCCAAACAGTCAAGTATTTCATAGTATTTATTTTTGGAAGTCAATGGGGCCCATCAACTGTGTGGTTAGTTACCCACATTCTTTAAAACGTCGTCTTTTGTGATGACAGAATTTTCATTTTTGGGTGAAATGTACATTTAATGTGCTGACAGCACTACAAGTTAATAAGTATAAGTCTTAGCAGATATGATTTTATATTTCATAGTTTGAAAATGCCAAGATCTGAGAACACTGCAGCATTTTGCAGTTGTCCCTATTGCTCAGCTTTAGCACTGAGGTTTGTAGTGACCCTATATTTCCCCTTGGTGGTGCACAACAATCAATTTTTAGATACCCTCTGTGCAACCTCTGCAGTATTTCTCAGCGGCATGACGTGCCGACATTCATGCTCACAAATATCACAAAGTTGTTGCACCATTTCTGTATGTGTACTACAAGCTAATATTTGAGAATGTACTACAGAAGCTAAACAATCGATGTAAGCATTACAAAATAATGGTGTCTTAAAGATGATAATAATCTTTCAGACACGACATCATTCTGATTATACATACGCATGGTATTTAGATGTCTGCCATGACCAAAATATTTTTATACTGGCTATGTTCAGAATAGCATACTATTATGCCACATATACTATTTTTTACTGGAATACCTAGATCTAGTAATTCTTATGTATGTTTGTAAATACATATACTGTAAACTCTACCTGAAAAAGTTGTTTATGCTTGCCACGGCTGCATTTATTTGACCAAAATGCGTGTGTGTGTGTGTGTGTGTCACAGAGTTCAAATTACAGTAGATATTAAAAATAGCAGGTAGAAATAGAATACAATAGATCATACTGAATGCAGTATGCCAGTATTCCATTCGGAACATAGCCTCTCTTTCACAAAAAAATAGTTTTGGAAAAGGGAATTGTGGGAATTCCATTTGATTAACTCATTCTTGTTTGTCTTTTCTCACATCTCTTTGTCTTTCTTGTGCTGAACCCTGGGACCTCCACATAACGTCTCTCTCTCTCTGTTCTTCCTCTCAGCCGTTAACTTTACAGATGCCTTGATCTTCGAAACTCCTCCTCCTCCCCCTCCCCTCTCCACTGACCCAATCCCAGCAATACTTACCCCAGAACCAGCCACACCAGCCCCTACAACTGCTGCTCCGCCCAAACCTATTACCACTTCCACCACTACTACCACTACAACAACTACTACTACAACCACAACTACTACAACTACTACCACCACCACTACAACAGCTTCCACCACACTTCTTCCTGTCCGGCCCATGTCTCCTAAAACAGTGGATTGGAAAATGCTGGGTATCTCATAATGACACAATGTGCATTGGAAAAGCCCACAGTACAGACAAAGTAGATGAAATTAGTGTGTTTGACATTTATTATGTATGTTTGACTCAGTTAGTTGACCATTTAGGACAGGGGCATGATTGATGTTCACCCTGTGCTCTCACAGACACACAACACTCAGATTACTCAGAATTAGTATTGACATTTGCTTTACTAATAGTCTAGTTGCATTAGAAAATTAAATGCATGATGTTGATCACTGAGCTATGAGATATTTGGTAAAATCATATCACACATATTAGCAAATAATGTTTTCTAGCTAAGGTTTTAAAGACCCCATGAAATGTTTTTTTGCTAAGTGAGGTATTTAGTGACAGTAATTTACAGCATATTTAGGTGGGATATAGCTATATTTATTTATTTGTATAAAAGCCTGATATACTCAAGGCAAAGTTCTTTTTTCATTCTGCACTCAGGGGTAAAAAGTTTGAAATGGCTGAGCAATGATATACAGTTTTGAACTTTCTGACGCCACCCACGCTGCTGAAAACTGTGTTTAGATAAATATTCAAATATGCGCCTCTGTAAGGTGTGGGTGAAGGGATGAGGCAAAAACACTCAGCCAATAAAAAAACACAAAACTCTAACACTAAACCAAAAATATAACCAGGGGTGTGTTTCCCGAAAGCATCGTTAGCCAACTATGGTCGCAAGTTCCAACGATTCGGTGTTTCCCGAAACCATCGTTCCAACGAACATTCGCAAACAGCATCGCATAGTTGGGTGGTTTAAACGACAGCTCTCGACCTATGGTTAGAAGCATCGTTTCTATATTGCAACACATTTGGAGGTAATAAATCCTTATCTTGAGCATAATGAGCAAGCTGACATTCAGAACAACCGGTGTCTTTTATTTAGAATACTTACAAATGGAATTTACGTCTTTTAGTTTGTCAAGAGGTTTGAAGTAACGTGTTTGAAGAGTGCGCATGTGCGAACGCACTCCACTATGTAAGAACGAGCCAAATATTGAGTCTGCTAATAAAGCAAAACAACTGAGAACAATTAGAAGTAGGCCTAGTCCTCAGATGACATGTCTGCAATTTATATAAAACAAATCTAGCGTTAATTGGATCTCAAACAGTTTCATTAAAAGCAGTTATTACTCCACCACGTGCGAAACCAACGTGGTTGAACGATACTTTGCGACAGTGAGTTTCGGGAAACAGTCGTGACTAGCTAGTTGATTTTTCCAACGATGCATCCTACTATGGTAGTGAAGCAGTGAACTACGTCGTTGTACGGGAAACGCACCCCTGATCGAAGTCACAGAACCCTGACAGCTGCGTACTACAACCCAACACAACAAAAAATGACGGTAATGACAACTCTCAGCGACCAGTAAAAAAACGCTTCAGCGTGAAAAAAAAAAAACGCTTAGCGCCTCATTACGCTCATGGCGTTTAAAAACCGCGGCGCTCCCATTGAAAACAATTGAAAACGTACGCAAGGCGCATGGAAAAACGTTTTGGTGGACACACGACCTATAGGGATGTACTAACAGTTTGTTCTCCAATTTCCCTTGAAGTACATCAGGTTTGGGTTGTTGTGTGAAATGCAATCCTCTCAATAGGAATCCGCACAATGTGGAATTTTGTGAGGGACAAAAAATTACCCCACCCAGATTTTGCATAGAATTCAAGTTAAAAATGTACTGTACCATAAAAAAACGTAGTTCGTATGTGGTGCTTTACGCATCGCTACTCTATTGATAATTGGAAGTCCAAGTTTTGCTAATGTGATTGCGACTTAAGAGGGAATTCTAGAGAGCATTTTATTAGACAAAAAATTGTGCAGGATGATAACCATATGTGTAGTACGTTTTTTCAATGGATCTAGAAAGTCTCTACACTCTAAATGTCTATATACTGTAGCTATCTGCTAAATGCTTTGTCAACTATACTTGCATATACAGTAGATGACCTCAAAGCTAAGTAATCGAACATGAACAAAAAGATACAAGAAATCTAATTTAGGTTTCATGGGGTCTTTAAGATTAAGTATATGTAACCTAACCAGTGTCTGTATCTCAAAATATTTAAGTGTACTCCTCTCCTACCTGTTCTGCATAGCCCCGAATGTAAAGATCTGGAATCTGACCGTGGATGCTAACAATGACTATGCTAACGTCAGCTGGAAGCACAACTTCTCCGTTGACAGCAGCAAGTTTGTGCTAGAGTACACACTGGACAGTAAGAGCCAGATACACCTACCGAGAGCTTATAAAGGGAAAGCTAGATTTTATTGAGCCTACTGGTGACCCAAATCATCTTCTTGTAATGTTTAATTGGGCCTCATGTTATGGCGAATTTACAGAACATCACAATAAACATTACAGGGAGCTCAGGTTTATTTGAAAGGGAGGTATTGTAAATGTTATTTGAATTGTTCAACATTTATGATATCTTTCTTGCTGTGAATCTCTGTAATGTTCTTTTCCCACAGTGCTTATATAGCTTGTTAAGTTAAAATGTGTTTTAACACCGAACTGAAGCTGTCCTCAAACATGTTACTGAATAATATCATGTCTGCAATATATTGCATTCTCCTTTGTGTCATCAGCAGTCATGCATGTTCCCTTTAGAAAGCTCTTTTTCTCTCTGGTGGCTAAGAACAGGGAGAGATTTGACTAAATCTATGAGGGGGAGAGATGCCCTGAGACTTAAAAAGAGACAACCAAGACCTGTTTATTTGACTCTAATTGGGCCACAGAGAGTTTTGGTCAGTAAACTGGTGACTTTAAGGCACCCTACAGTCCACTCTTATTAACTCTGCAATATTTTAGCAGTTATGTCTTTTTTACCAGTATATATTTATTTATTTATTTAAATTAGGTGTAAAGTTATTTGATTTAGGCTAAAATAAAAGGGAAAAAAATTATCTTCAATATAGTAAGAAAAAATCAGTTCAATATAGTATACTTTATTATTATTTTATAATTTATATTATATTTAGCTTTCTATGAAAATGTATTTTTAGGATTCATTATTTTATTTATTTATTTTTTATATTTTTTACTGGAAACCAAGACAAATATTTTTTTTTCTTTTTTATTCAGTTCATAGACTCTCTTGAGCCGTTTTAATTTTCAGTTTTTTTAATTACACTGGTGAATTAAAAAAAAAAAAAACATGATTTCTTCATACTACATCACTGTTCTGTTGTGCCTGTGCATGTTTAAGCCGGAAAGAGACATGCAATACGTAACTAGTGTTTGGACAAGTGTATATTCCTCTACAAAAGTCTCTCTCTCTCTCTCACTCATTTTCTTGCTCTCTCTCTCGCTTGCTCTTTCGTCCTTGAGCTATCTGTTTGCCTCATCAGATGTGATTGCTCATTCCACCGTTTCCTATTGGCTTCCCAGCAGCGCTTGTTGTCTGGCTGCCCAAAAGTGCTTGGCTTATTGTTCATATTGGCCACCATTGCCCCATCCCATGATTACGCCAGCAAGCCTGCCATATCTGATTGATGCCCCTTTGGCTTCTTTTTTCATCTTTGGTGGAAAGGTTTCAGAAATTAGTTTAATGTTTCCAACCTAAGGTCTCCTCAAGGGGAGAGTCAGAGTAACACATTTAACCTTGAAACATGTTGTGCAGTAAGTGCTGGTGTAATACCCCAACAAGCAGGTGTAAATGTAACTGAATCAATCTGTGTTTCATCCAAGAGGTGCATCACAGCTTTGGACTACTTTTTTACACCAATGAATACTGCATTATTATGGGATTATATTACACCAGGACCACACATTCTCCAAAAGTGCTTCCCATGTACACTCACCATACCATTATACTGTATATCACTCCCTCTTCTTTCTTCCTCTTTCTCATCATCTCACCATGTCAAGATTGTGGCAGGTGCATGCAGTCAGTGTGAGGCATGGTGTCTGATGATGTCTTAAGGTCTGAGATGAGCTGTAGCAGCTTCTCAGCCCATATGAGATGTTTTGTTGATCTTAAAGCAGGACATCGTGACATGATGAAGGGTTATCAGCCAATTTTGTGCATGTAATATGGGAATACATATCATTTAAATTCCACGTAGCTTACAGAGTTAGGGAATGGCTTGGATTTGAAAGACAATAGGCACCTTTATCAAGCTATTGAAGAATTAGATATACATAGAGTTCTTGCGAGGTTACAAATAAGGATGCATGATATAGTACCACATATCTTCTCTTATCTGTTGGTATTGGTCAATATTGGATATTTAATTGTGCATTCAGAATTTTCAATTTTTACTATTAGATTACATTTATAGCATCATCTAATGCTATTTTTATTTATAAAAAAACACTCATTTAAATGTTAAATGTCATCTTTAGCATTATCTCAGAATAAATATTAATTTATCATACTGAAATATTCTATACAGTTTTAATGTCGGCCCTTTATTTATTGGCCAGAATATTAGTCAGATTTGTTAACTGTATCCCTAGTGTAAATTCAAATTATTTTGCTTAGCCATGCTTTTCATGGTTAAATTAATCTAAGTTGGCCAGTCAAAATTCAGTATGTACTGTTTCTACAAAACATAGTTTTACATTATTTGCAGAGCAAACCCTAACCAGAATGTTGGTGTAATACACACAGCTTTGCAAGCATTGCGATGAAAAATAAAGCTTCAAAACAAGTGACTAAAAGCTTTTTCTTTTTCTTTTTTCTTTTTTTTTTTTTTTTTGATGAATAGATGGGAATTGTCTAAAATGGATAAGTTCTTTCTTTCCAGCTAGTTGCTCTTTCACCTCCAGGTCTGCACTTTCAGACACTATAATTGAATTTTGCTATGCAGATATAATCCAATGGCTGCTTGCTTTAAAGGCTGTTGTATATGGCCACATTTTGATATGCAGGGTTTTGCATCAAACTCATGCCAACCCATGATGGTTCCTTATGAACATCGTGGAACCTCATTGGAACATTACATCCACCTCTTGACAATTCCTTTGGGATTTGTCCCTCCACTTCTCAGCTTCCTCAGTGATGAGATGGTCTATATAGATAATTGAGACAAGGTGCACCTCCCTCCACTCTAGACCGGAGTTCATTATAGCAATCCAGTGTGGGATAGTAAGCAGCAACTTCACATCAAAGCTTTTAACAGGCATCACTAAAGCAAATTATGCCCCTAAAACACCAGTGCCAGACTTTGATGTGTGCTGAGCCAAGATATTCCAGTATTTTTGCTCCCAGCAAGTTTAAAATATCATTTTCATACGTTCTCTCTTAAGAGTGGAAGGGATGCAGCACATTTCCTCAGTTAACGAACATGACCTGCTATCTTGTGGAAGAGGCCAGTGTTGTGTGCTTAGTTTTGGCCATTAAGCTTGATAGGCTCGGTTTTATGGACACCTCTCTTGTGTCTCTCCTTGAAGGTAATGGGTCGATGAAAAGCATACAAGTAAACCAGCAGCCTTTCATTAAGCTGGCTGGGCTGGTGGCCGGGGCCAAGTATCGGTTGCGGGTCTATTCCCATGAGCACCACTCCATCAGCAGCGACTTTGTCACGTTCGAGACAGGCAGAGGTGAGGGGTAGTCAAGACACAAGGGAGGGAGAAAGGCTTCAACATGTTACCTTCTGAAGTAGATAAAACTACAACAAACTGTATTGTGTCATGACTCATGTTTACCAATGGGTTACTGTGGCGCAAGCACACTAAGAATTCACTTTTGCTAGTTTAATGGCAGGAAAAATGGTCAGCGTGCCTAGTGCATGGTACTGTATGAAAGGGTTGCCTCTATTCTCTTAATGAGTGATGGGTGTTTTTGGGCGTAATGTGCAATAAACCAATCAGAGTCTCATCTCCCATTCCCTGTAAAAGCCAGTTGCGCTTGCATCATGGTGGATTCGCGATATATGTGGAAGAATTTGGAAGCGGACAAACTGAACACTTCTCTAGCAAGGAAACGGATCTGCTCGTGCGCGAGGTTGCGCCATCTATGGGACAAACGTGTATGCGCGTTGTGGACCCGTCTGTAGGCGCATATTACTAAAACGCTCTTTAAGTACCAAAATAAAACCATTGCGCCATTGACTTAAAACCAGGTTTCAGTTGGTTAATGGCTCAGTAATTTCAGTTGGCTCAAAATAGCAACGCGCCAACAAATACGCCCGAACACACCTAATTTTCAGACCAGCACGCCCATGGGCGCAAATGCATTTGCTATTTGCATTTGCAGAATGTGAAAAATGATAACTGCGTCAGGCTGAAACTAGCCAAAATTAACTTGCGTCACGCCTGGCGCCGCATTTATGCTAGGGCCCTAAATGTTATCAACATATAGTAGTTAATGCTCGGTAAGCCATTTTATGAGTTTATCTTTGCAGATTATTTTTCGAAGCTTTAGAGGCACTAGAAAACGTATGTGCCTCGGGTGGTGTGAGCGAGACGAAATCTCTCAGCATTTTCTGTAGGAACAAGCTCAATAATATATTGATCATCATGATGATAAGGATCCTTGAGCCGTGTAAATATCATTTTGGGTGGGATGTTTGCTCTATGTTTTTCGGATATAGAAGATTGAGCTCATAATAATCCATCAGCTTTATTGTTTGTTCCTCTCACTGTTAGATTCCTCTGTGTTTTCCACACAAAAAATGGCACTATCAGGCCATTTTAGGTGTTTTTTTTTAATATATATTTATTATATCATATTAAATTATAGCACTCTCTCTATTAATGCCCTTTGTTTTTAAAGGAAGTGTTCGAGAAGCACATACCGTAAGATGGTATAGGGTACTCTATAGTTCAAAAGTTTGGGGTCAGAATGATTTTTTTTTTTTTTTTTTTTTTTACAGAGAGATAATTTAATAATTTCATTCCGGAAAGAGGAATAATATTGATCAAAAGTGACATTAAAGATTTTAATAATTTTGCAAGACATGTCTATTTCAAATAAATGCTGCTCTTTTGTATTAATTAAAGAATCATGAAAAATTATGGTATTCACAAAAATATTAAGCATTACTGTTTTCAACATTGAAAATTTTCAAAATTCAGGTTTGCCATCACAAAAATAAATAATAAAAATATTATATATATATATATATATATATATATATATATATATATATATTAAAATAGAAAACTGATCATTTTAATTGTATTAATACTTCACAATAATATAGTAAACATCTTTACTCTATTTTTGATCAAATAAGTGCAACCTTGGAAATCTTACCAACCCCAAACCTTTGAACGGTAGTGTATATCGAAAAACCTTTCAATAGAGAACAGGAAAAACACATGCAGTTAGTCCACCCTCTACTAATGTTTTACAAGATGCAGATTTTAAAAAGAGTGAAAATGAGAGTATTTGATGATGTGGTTAAACCAAGCTGCTGGCTTTGGGTTTCCGTTTTCATCAGATAACTCTTTATGGAGAGCGCCCTGTGCTCTGATGTTATTATCAGGATGGGTAATTCAAATCCAGATTCTCTCACCGCTAATGTGTTTTTGATAAAGAATGGCTGTCAACTGACTCCTACCATGTTGCTGAAAAGTCAGTGAGATTTATTAGGGTCTCCATTTGCTGTTACTGTGTTCAGCTTTTCTACTGACTCGATGAATCATACAGGAAGAGAACAAGGTTCTTGATGTGTAAGATGATCTGTGAGAGTTGATTTCTGCCATTCTTCTTATGGGTATAATGTTACGAAACTTAAACATTTTCTTCTGTACCTCTGTTTCTTCTGCCCTCCTCTGTGTGTTTGCTTGTTAACAGCCTACATGGAGCAGGAAGACATCGCTACTCAGGGCTGGTTCATTGGGCTGATGTGTGCCGTCGCTTTATTGGTTCTCATTCTGCTCATTGTTTGTTTCATCAAGAGGAGTCGTGGAGGAAAATACCCAGGTAAAATCCAGCAAATACGCAACGCACTTGTGATCACTTTCCATAAACCATTGGAATATATTAAAGCAGGGTTGACTGGTGGGTTATTTATTTTATTTTATTTTGGATGATGATCAAAAACTTAAAATAAAACCGTCAAATATTAATATTGTTGTACTTTTTTTAAACTATGGACATTTCTGTTAACATTAATTACCTTTAACCAAGTATATGGCACATGGTAACACTTTACAAGTGTTAAGTACTTTAGCTAACATGAACTATGGATTAACAATAATTCTACAGCATTTATTAATTTCAATGTTTACTAATACATTATTAAAATCAAAAGCTCTGTTTGTTTACATTTAGTTAAGACTGTATTTTTATTAACTAACATTAACAGATTAGTAAAGACTGTAACAAATGGTACTGCTCATTGTTAGTTCATGTCAATGTGAACAAATGAAACTTTATTGTAAAGTGTTACCTGCTATGTAAATGATCTGTCTACTGTTGGTTTAACTGTACTGCTGTTTTTGTTTTTATCAGTGAGAGAGAAGAAAGACCTCCCCTTGGATCCTGTTGACCATAAAGACCAAGATGGATCATTTGACTATCAGTAAGTTTTCACTTTCTATCACTTTTACCATAAAGAGAAATGTCTATTCAGGTTCTGCTATTTATAATGTTGAACCTGTTGATGAAACACTTTGTTTTACATGTTACAGGTCCTGAACATAGTTCTCACCCTGCAGAGGGAGAAAATGTCTCTCATTTTAAACAAATATAACAACTAACCACTTAAACCCAACAAATACTAAATAACATTATTACTTAAACACCCCCAGAACATTTGTTAATGAGGCTTTTGCTTTACTTAAACAGAAAATAAGCTTGCTGATGTTAAATGTGTCTGTTCACTGACCACCAGCTGAAAACCAATGCAACAAATTCACAGGAAACTGCAGTTGCCATGCAGTTAAAAACTCTCTAGTGTGCTTTTTATCACCATCCACACCAACATACTATAAATGAGTCCTTCCTGTACAGTTCTACCTCTACTCTCTAAACCACACAGATCTCATAACTTCCCACCCTGCAGTCCCATCGTGGCAGGAAAAAAAATCAGTGTGCTACTCTGAAGGAGTTCACACTGCCCCAACAAACACCTACATCCAGCTGTTCTATAGTATTATTTATATATCTATTTACCTTTTTTTTTCATTCCTATTTACCTTTATTTCAGTTTTAGAACTGAATTTTATTTCAGTTAATTGCTTAAAATGTATATTTATTTGATTTTAGCAGCATTTTAATTAATGAAAACTATTTAACTATTTAATCGGTTTAGATTTAGTTAATTAAAACAACATTGGTGCTTCATTGCTTTAGTTTGGATCAGCTGGCATATAAGGCGATGTGAACCCTTAACAAACAAACAAACCTTTTTTCTATCTGTCATGCTTAGTTTGTTTTGAAGGTTTTGTTGTATAAGTCAACTTGGTGTGTACAACCTGGGTACAGAGAGTAAAGGGAAGTGTCAGTGAGGGTCTCTGGCAACACATTAAATGTCTGAAGAGCTAATATCTCAAGGTCGATCATGTTACTTATGCAGTGTTGGGAAAGTGCTGTATAGCAAGCAACACTTCAAACTTAACATTTTTTCATTTGGATAATATAAATAGCTTTAACATTGTAGTTAGCTAGTCATTTTTAACGTTTGTTAGCTCGAAAAAATGTAGCTTGATTAGCTTAGCAAGCTAAACATAGCTTCTCCAACACTGCACCAAAGCTGAATACAAGACATATCTGTAGACGTGTACCATGGATTAATAGGTTGGTTCAGTGTAATCCTCTAAACCACTAATTGCAAGACACGCGCCAACATTTTGGGCTATATCATTTTTAATAAAAACCACTTGTGTTTCAGCAGTTTCATGACTAACAGCTAGTTACGTGATATTAAATGGTTTGCCTTTTCTCAAAGCTATTATTTTTAAGCAGATCAGAGACCAGCGTTCTAACTGATTAGCTTAGTAATGCTAAGATCTAGGTTATGTTAAGCTTTACGCAGCGGCAATACTAACTTCTCTCTCCATCTAACGTGTGAATGATGAACCCTTTTCTTCCCCCTCCTCTTTCAAATTGGCGGCTGGGTTGTTAAGGAACGAGAACAGGTATTTGGTTTCAGCACATCATCTCAGCCTGAGCATGTCATTGGTTAGCCTACATGTGGATGGCAGAACAGGGACTAAAGCTGCTGTCTGATCAGGGTTTGAGCTCTTCAAAGGTGTTAAACTCCTTGGTCCGTCTATTTTGGATGTAATCCAGCGATTTTTTTTTTATTTTTTTTATTTATTTATTTATTTATTTTTATTTTTTTTTGGAAGTTAATACAAGTGTCCTAACCAAACACAATGTGATAAGCCAGCTTAGTTTTTCAGTTAGGTGCGGCTAGTGACAGGATGTTTTTGGATTGGCTGTGATTCTGTGGCATCTTGCTATAGAAGCCTGTTTCTGCCACGGATTGAAAAAGATAATAGTGACTTTTTATCACATATTTATGACTTAATAACTCACAATTGCTACTTTATATCTCAAAATTCTGAGGAAAAAAAGTATTTCTGAAACTAGAATTTTATAAAACTAGACTTTAATATTTGAAGAGTTCAGATGCAAAAGCCTCTAAGTGCCATTTGAAATTTTCTTCTAAAATGACCATTTTTATCAAGCTTGTATGTTTAAGTTCAGTAATTTCACTTGAATAACAATTAATAGGTAATCTTCATTGCCATTTAAGTGAATTTACTGAACTCAAATATACAAGCTTGATAAAAATGATCATTTTAGAAGAAAATTTCAAATGGCACTTAGAGGCTTTTGCATCTGAACTCTTCATTTATAAACTCAAGTCTACATCTCGCAAACCTTACTTTTTTTCTCAGGATTGTGAGATATAAACTTGCAATTGTGAGTTACTGTATACTGTCTGACTTGCTTAAAGAGATACTCCACTTTTTTTGGAAATAGGCTCATTTTACAACTCTCTCAGAGTTAAACAGTTGGGTTTTACCGTTTTCGAATCCATTCAGCCGATTTTCTGATATTTAGAAGACTATCAGTAACCATCCAAATATCTGAAAATCAGCTGAATGGATTCGAAAACGGTAAAACCCAACTGTTTAAACTCTGGGGGAGTTGCAAAATTAGCCTATTTCCAAAAAAAGTGGAGTATCCCTTTAATATAAACTTGCAATTCAGGGAAAAAAGGCAGTTCACAATTACTTTGTTCTGCCTTTCTGACTTTATTACTCACAATTGCAAGTTTATATCACAGTTCTGAGACAAAAGTCAGGATTGTGAGATAAACTCGAGTTTATCAATATTAAACACTAGTTTTATTTACTCACAATTCTGAGAGAAAAAAGTCGAAGAATTGTGAGATACAAACTCGCAATTGCAAGAAACAAGATCATAATTCTGTGATAAAAAGTTTCAATTACCTTCTTTTTTTTTTCTCCATGCTGGAAACTAGACTGGTGGCATTTGTGCTTTTAAAAGACAGCAAACTTGTCACATTGTGCCTGGTTATCACCTTGCACCACTTACAGCAGTGCACTTATTGAATGCTTCATATAAAGCTGTTTATCTCATAGAGTGAATTGGAATATGTATTAAAAGCTTTGGCCTGAAATAAAATGTCAAGTACTGAAACATTTTATTCCCTCTTAAAATAAATTAGTGTCTTTATTATAAAAATAATAATCACGATTCATTGGTTTTTATTGTAAAGATTAGTTTTAAACCTTAAAAGCCAGTACTGCGATATGAAGGTTAAATTAGTTTGTCAGAAGGGACCCAAGGTACTTTCTTCAATGGTTTAACACCCTTGAAATGTCGTTCAATGGAAAGCGCAGTAAACAAAATTCAGTGACAGGGTGACCATGATCAAATGCACAGAAACATGCATGAAACATGAAAACAATTCTGCTTTGTTCAGAGGGAACTCGGTTTAATGTAAATTTGCATGCAAGGCTAGCAAAATGTATGATTTTTCAGACTTTTCCGAATTTATAATGCATTTCCTACAGTCTGAGGGGAGAGTCTGCTGGAGATCAGAGACCTTGGGTTTTGTCAGTAATCTGCATTCAGTGGTGGGATGCCTCATCTCCAAAATGAATCAAAAGCTAACAACAGATTATTTGCTGAAGGCTGTTTATAATTATGTTCACTGCATCCTTTTCTTTTTCCTCTTATTTTTCTTTTAAGTGCCTCTTTTTGATGACACAAATGTTTTGTTTTATTCATTATTTTTTCTCTCTTAATTTTTTTTTTTATTCTTGGGTGTTTTCCATCGTGTTGGTCCAATGAAGGTCTCTTGAAAAGGAAAGGTATGGAAAGAGCTGCATTAATTTCACCTGCATTTGGACCTTAGTCATGAACTAAAGCATTTCTTGCCTTGTGTTTTTGACTTTAATCGATTAATACATGTCCTTCTCCTTTAGTATTGATAAATGAACGAAAGCATTAGACGCATAATGGTTTAACTAACTCGTATTCTTTCACGATTTTCTTGTCATTCTATCATAATTCATGATTTTGTGTCCCAACTGTAGTTATTTTATTTTTATAACTATAGTCAAAATGTTGCAAAATACAGAAAAAAATATTATGTTATTAATTTGATTAATCTGCATGTCATGTAAGTCATTGACTAATAGTCCTATTTATTTGTTTATTAATTCATTCGTTTTCGACATATTCTTCAAATGGGTAATATTCTGTCAATGTGAAATATGGGTTCTTTTTCCACTCTTGGAGGTGAAAAGCTGGTGAAACTGTGAGTGTGAAGGCTGATCGATTAAATCAAAAACCCATTCTCATTATTCCCTGAACTCTTGCTGGTGCAGAGAGAGAGTGTATTTGGTTGGGAAAAGCAAGATATCCTGAATGCGCCTTGTTGAATCCAAAGATAAATAACTAAACGACCATGATTTTCCAGTTGTCACTGTGCATGCACAGAACCGTGTCATCTGGTAATATCATACTACTTAAACATTTTTTTTTATGAAACATCCATGCTTCTTTTTTTATAGAGAGGATGCTGTTGGTAAAAGCATTTTTATGACCTATGAAAATGGATAGTATCATGGAGCCTGGTTGTAAAACATGTTTTGTATGGGGACACAGTATATTTCGATTTACCAGCCTATCTGTAAAGCATTTTACAACGAGGTCCATGGATATTACATGAAATTAAAGATGGACCTCAGTGCTAAGTTAATGGTTTTTAAGATCTGATTGGTGTTTCTTTGTTGTTTTCGGTTTTCCTGGTGCATCTCGGCAGCTCTTAATGCATGACACTATTACCCCCCAGCCGAGGTCTGTTTTAATATATGAGTTGCATGTGTTTAGGCATGCACATGACAGGCGATGAAAGATCTACCTGTGATAATGTAGTGCAATGAATCATTTATAGCCATGACATCATTTATACAAGAATACAGAGAGCTGAGAGTTTGTCTTTGTCTAGTAATACATGTGTGGTTCTTTTACCTTGAGACAGTTTTCTTTTCTCCTTCAGGTTTCTCAAAAGTGAGATGCTAAATGTTTTAGTTTTTTTTTTCTCTGCATGATCTAGTTGGAATCATTATTTACATCATTATTAACATTATTTAAATCTTTGGACTGTTTTCCAAAGATGGCACCGCCTGTATACACGAAGTGGACTTTCTTTATAAAATATCTTCTTATTAAAAGTTCTGTACACTTACAAAGTTCTCAATGCTTCGTTTTGCATGTTACTGTGTTAGTGTGGGGCTATTTTGAGCCTTGTTAGTGGTATAAACTAGCGATTACTTTTTGCTTACTCAATGCCCTATATACTAGCGTTATAAGCTAAACAGTTTTTAGAGATAAAACTCTTAACATTCGATTACCATGAAAATAAATCCCAGAGAACGTTCGACTAGTAGGTACCAATGTTTTATTAGACCAAAGGTTCATTTTGCGCCGGAGTTCTCCTTTAATTAGAAGCGAAAGACAACTCCATTCAGTATTCGCCTGTTGACTAAGGCGCTGCTTTCCAAAGGTGCGCGCTATGGATGTATGTGAACTTCTCTGAGTTCACTTTCAAATCTTCTTACACTTGAATATTTAGGCTAGGCTTATACAACCACACGCAAATGATAAACTTTCGCGAAGATGCAGCACTGACTGGCCCGATCAGGACAGTGGAAGTGTTGCATAGCCGATACGCCGATGATTGTAAATTGATAAAAAATCGGCCGATACATCGGTGCATCTCTAAATGAAAGGATTTGTGAGTTGCTTGTATTTACAGGCTTGCTTTTGAATGGTTGCCTATGGAAAAAATGGTGTAGTTATGATATCGACCAGCAGGGCTAACAGGTCTATGCTAACCAGCCGAACCGTCATCCCTTCTTGTTTTCTAACTCTTTTTTTTTCTTTCTTCCTATAGCAGCGACGAAGACAACAAGCCATTGCAGGGCAGCCAAACATCCCTGGACGGGAACGTAAAAGAGAGCGATGACAGTCTCGTGGACTATGGTGAAGGAGGGGACGGCCAGTTCAACGAGGACGGCTCCTTCATTGGCCAGTACACAGTTAAGAAGGACAAAGAGGAGACTGAAGGAAACGAGAGCTCAGAAGCCACGTCACCCGTCAATGCCATCTACTCTCTGGCATAGCACTCCGAAAGGGGCACGGCGCCCCCAGCAGGTCGGAGGGTGCCACTACACGCATACAAATAAATATATATACAGTATATATATATATATATATATATATATATATATACATACAGAGAGAATTAAGAGTATTCACATAAAACGCACTGGAGTGCATGATCCTTCTGAGTAAGGGATGGGGAGCCAGCAGGTGTCCGGAAACCTTCGTTTGAGGTGTCCCCATGCTCCACACAGACTTTAGTGTGCCTTTAGGGCGACGGGGCGGACTTTCAAGCTTTTCATGTGGCTTATGCTCTTCTTTTTTTTATTTTGTAAATCTTAAGCTAATCTGCCCCTTCCTCCTCCTGTTGTAGCTAGAATCAAAGAAACGGAGACACAAGCACCAGACCTGTGACATATCAACTGTGTGTCGACTCAACTGCAGAACGTCGGCAAATACGTTTATCATATTGATATTTCTGCAGTGAATGATTCTCTTTTTTCACCGCAGATAGATGCATCCAAAAACATGAAATCTGTATACAGTGCTGGCACGGTTCGCTGTGCTTTATAAAACTATGCACTATGTATTATCATTATCGTGCTTTTGGGTTAATATTGGACGTTAGAATCTCATGTTTCCTTTTTTTGATGTGGATTTTTGCAAAGAAAAAAATCTAGTCCTGGCTATATTTTTATATACGCCATTGGACTGATCTCGCTTTCATTTGCTGTTGCTCGGTTAATATATTTTCACTGGCTGCAACTATTAAAATGCCACCAATATTTATAGGCAGATGTTAGATGGCATAACATGTAAATGAAGAAAAAACATTATTTTGAAGCATGGTAGTATTTTAGCGCAAAGGACAATGGAGAGGTTGTAATACGAAGAGTTAAATACACAATGATAAATTCATTTTTTTTTTATAAGACTTGCTTTATATAGTCCTCAAAAGAGAATAATGATGATGAAATTGATCACATTTGTTTTTCATTCTTTTTTAATAAGCTTGGTGATGAGTTTGGTGCCTGAATAAGTATATTCAAGGAGTCTAAAAGATATTTGGGGTGCATCAATACATCAGTGGTTTGTCATTTGAGGATTTCTCGAAATAAATAGACATACAGTAGGCAGTGAGTACAGTAAAGAGAAGTGTACATATCGTTTGGGCGGCTGAGACACTGCCCTGAAGACATGCCACTGTAATTCTAGTGCCACTCGCGGTGGTTAGTTTCTTTCTCTGTGCTCTCACACACTACTATCATTCATTTATATTCTGCACTATTATGTACTTACAGTAGGGTTCAAAAATCTGAGGCCACATTGAAAATCACCTGGAAATGAACAACATTTTAAGGTAACTAAAAATTGATGTAGTTAAAGTGCAGCATGAAATCAAAATTCATATTTTTTATGGAATATAGCAGTGTTTATTATAAATAATTTATCTGTGCACAATTTTTTTAAGTCATGTGCCTTTTTGTAATCAATCACATAAAATCAAGTCTTACTCTACCTTTTTTTTCTTTAATGTTTTTGAACAAAGTCTCTTGAGCATCATCGAGCTTTACTTGATAAAAAATACGGAAATATTGTGAAATATTATTACAATTTAAAATAATGGTTTCTATTTTAATATACTTTAAAATATATTTTTATTTCTGTAATGGAAAAGCTGAATTTTCAGCATCATATCTTCAGTCTTTAGTGTCACATGATCCTTCAGAAATCAGTCTAGTATGCCGATTTGATTATTAAAAAGTTCAAAAGAACAGCATTTATTAAAAATAGAAATATTTTCTAACAATATAAATCTTTACTATCCTTTTTTTATCAATTTAACACTATTAGATAAAATAATAGAAGTATTTATTTATATATAAAAAAACTTGAACAGTATATTGTTACAAAACATTTCTATTTTAAATAAATATACTCCTGAAAAAAGTATCACCGGTTATACAAAAATATTAACTGTTTACAAGAATGATAATAAATCATGAATTCTGAAGGATCATGTGACACTGAAGAATGGAGTAATGATGCTGAAAATTCAGTTTTGCATCACAGAAATAAAGTTTATTCAAATGGAAAACCATTATTTTAAATTCGAAAAATATTTCACAGGATTACTGTTTTTTTTCAGTATTTTTGATCAAATAAATGATTGAGCGTAAGATACTTCTTTCAAAAACATGAAAAATAGTAATGTGTCCAACGATCGCAAATTTCGTGCTGACTTTAAGATTTAATTAAGTAAGCAAACATTAATGGATTTGTGTAGTGAGTGTCTTGTGACTCTTTAACAGACGGAAGATCTGCTTCCGGATTCAGAGCGTCTAGTCTCTTTGGAGACTGTCAAATCAGGTTGGAGAACACCATCATCTGGTTTTACACAAACTTGAGTTCATTCAGCAAAAGTGCGACAAACCAAATATTAAGATATTCTAAAACTTCAAATGTTTTGCTGATAATATCAAAATAGTGCGAATGCATTTCCAACTATAGTGATCTCAAACTTTTGGACCCCTCTACATATTTATCTTGCTTTTATTTATGTTAAAAAAAAAATAGGGACTAATATATGAATAATTTATTGCTGACTGCACAACAGCTGTTTGAAGTCTGAGCTGTGATTTAGCACATTGTGAAAGCTTCTCTGTGTAATGTAGGATGAAAACATACTTCAAAGATCAAGGATCATGTTTGTGGCAATGTAAAATAATGAAATGTGATGTCACCATTAAAGGGAGTATGTCTTATTTGTTAATTGTGCTGCTCTTTTTAGTATTAATGTCATTTCACTGCTATTGTGTTAATATATTCGACATAACATAAAATGGAAATATTGTGTACTTATTTTACTCAAAAAAATGCCTTGATCATCATGTATATAATTTTTTTTTTTTTTTTTTTTTTTGAGCAGGTTTACCGTGTTACGGTAAGAAAATGATCCATAATAAAAAAAAAAAAAAGCTTTTTGGTGCATCCCAAAATGCAAGACTCCATGCACAGATTTGGATTGGGTTCAGCCAGTGGCCTTGGGTATTCGATTTAAGATTTTGTCTCATCTAATTTTAATTGTATTTAGGTGACATTCGTCACTGATTGCGTCTCAAATTTGCCTGGCTGACACCGGTAATAACGATGTAAATAGCAAATGCTGTAGAGTTGTACCATTGTAGCATTCTGCACTGAGGATGACCTTTTTTGTAAACAACATTTCAATTGTGTTATGCAAGAGAAAATGGTTTGTCATTTCTTGTTCATGTATTACTGCACCACAGGCTCCCACAATGCCTTTCACCTGTGACACGGCCCAGGGCTGAATATCAGGTCGCAACGTCCTGATCGGGATGTGATGTCCTATACGATGCCTTCACAGCAAAGAAATACGTGTTAATGACATGAATTGGATTCTTTCCAGTATACCTCAAAGCAATACTCTCCTGGTTTGTCTTTCGCTGTTGTTTAGTCCAGCAAGTAGTGACTTACATGCACAGACACAGTAGACACAGTTTAACATCAAGTCAGCTTGAACCTATTTTGTCCTACCTTGCCTTGAACTTCTGCAGACACTTTTATCGTCTTTGCAGATTGTTCCCCGTGTCCATGAGTTGCTGGCGATGTTCATAAAATATATCCAATTATATATTTGTTGGTATATTGCTTATTCTGTCTTTCTCCCAATGTCAGATCATTTGTGTAGTTATTAACCGGCTTAATCTAGTATCCATAAAACAAAGAGGACAATAATTGCCACAGCTGTTCCCGTGACACGTTTGATTTAACCCATACATATGATTATTATTGTATTTTTAGAGATTTGTGCATCGGATCAGCTTTTTTAAATTGCTTCTCATGCAGGTTCACTGTGTTTTCGTTCTGTAAATTTGGCCATAGGAATGGTCAATCATTATTGTTCACCACGTATGCGTGTATGACGAGATGCTGCAACTTAATCTGCTCGAGATTCCTTTCTTTATAGTAAAGCTGTGTCATTTTCTCAACCTTCTGATCTGTCCTTGCGTCTGATTACCAAAAGGCTTCATCCACTTTTTTTTTGTAAACTTTATACATTCCCACTGATTCATAAGAATCGATTAATATTTTGATGGGATGATATCTGAGTTTTGATGATTTTATAAAAGGAAAGTGGACTGTTTGAAATGACTACTTTTCAAAGTTCAGTTTTTACTTTGGGAAATAGGATGCAGACTTACAAAATTGTAAATTAGCAAAAAAAATGTTACAATTATAACTGACGGAATGTGTTAAAATGTAATTACATTCAAAGAAACTGTATATATATATATATATATATATATATTTGTGCTAAGTCGATTGATTAATTAAGTCGATTAATCACAACATGAAGGTGTTTATATATATATACACACACAAACTTCTATGTTGCAATTAATCACAACTAATCAATTTGACAGCCCAAATAGGCTTGTACTGTGAATAGTAATATTTTGAGTGGTTTTATCCTCAATAAATTCCAAATTAATACTTATTGATAGGGTATGTATTAAGGGATCTACAATTGTCATGCTGAATAATTAGTATGTGCTTTATAAGTACTAATAAACACTCAATATGCTTGTAATATCTATGCTAATAAGCAATCAGTTACTACTGTAAACTTTTTTTTCAAGATCTGTTATCACAACATTTTTTTTCTTTTGTCAAATCAACTTAAATAATTTATTTAGTTCAGATAACTTATTATTTTGAGTTTCTGATGATTAAATCAATCTCCTTCATTGTATTAACTCACTTTTTCCAGTTCAATCAACTTAAAATTTTAAGGCAACCAGGTTACTTATTTTTTTTTAAGTTAAACCAACAATATTTTTTTTACAGTGCATACACACAGACATGCACGCACAGAAATATAATATATATTAGATAATTGTAATATAATCATATATATATATATATATATATATATATATATATATATACACTCGCACATTATATAAACACCAACTTTGATGTTAGATGCGATTATCACACATATACACAGTAGGCATCTTCTGAAATGTATACAATTTAAATAACTGTTTTCTATTTTAATATATTTTATATTTCAAACACAATTTCAGCAATAAATGCAACCTTGGTGAGCATATGAGACCCCTGTATATAAAAATGAGGCTTTTTACACATTATATTTTAAAAATCCTCTGAAGATCACTTACGTTCTGGTTTTCAAAAGTAGGCCTACATGATGGAAACAAAACACCTGAAGTAATCTATTCTAATGACGTTACCTAAAGTGAGCTTCACATTTAAAGTCTTTCATTTTCATGCTAGGCTAAACACAATACAGGTCTCTATTCATCATTCTCTCCAGTAAACGGCCCCTGGTTACACACTACATTTCACTGAGCCACTGCTCTCCCCATTGATTTTGCTCATATCCGGATGACCATAATGACTTCAACAGCTTAATGTAGCCGATTCGACTTCTCCCTTTTACTCAGATGGCAGGAGGATACACACACTGGTGAAATTAATAACAGGCCTGTGACGATAAATCTGTTGTGAAGCCAGGAAAGAGTGCACCTCATATATTTTATTTAGGAGATATGAATACATTTTTTGCCTTGACCCCCCCTGAGACTGGTAAATATTAATGTCCTTTGCCTTCCGCCGTCTGAGTGAAAAGCCAGGCCTTTTAAACACCTGTCACATATATCTCTCACAGACACCATTAGCAAAAATATCAATGTCCAGAGCTTCAAGCCACCTTTCAGTACCAGATTCTGTAATTACTTCTTAAAGTAAGTGCATTGACAAAGTGCAGTCAAATGACTCATGTGAAAGCGTGGCACAACATTAGCCTGAAAATGGTTTTAATTAAATCAAATTGATTTAATGAGTAATTAAATGTTAGCTAAACTAAACTGTTAACAAGTCTGTGCAGTTTTGCATGTCAGTCGTGCCCGAGCTTCCCTTTAGAATCAAT